GTGATCTAGGGTAGGTGTGGTAGTGGCTGTGGCAAAGACAGATAAGTGAATTATATGGTCGGATTACAAAATCTGATTTCGACTCTTTTAAGGACAGCTAAGCAATCTTGAGTTGATGGAAATCTCTAGGGATAAATAGGATGTAATTAGAGTTTCGTAAAGAAACCATATATCTTTTCAACAAATATAGTAAATTTATCTTAATTTTATACAGATATATCTGTCAAAGAAAGTTTTTATGTTTTAAAAATTTCTTAAACTAAGAAAATCCAAACTAAACCTAAGCTTAGCACGAAGTAACCTCTATAAGTAAATATTTGAAATATTTAAAGTAAGCTATTTTTAAAGATTTAACCGAAAAAAGAAAACCCATAATAACCGCCATGTATGAATTTCAGGCAATTAAAAGTTTCTCCCAACTACAGAAAGAGTTTCATATTGAAAGTCTCAACATATTAACATCAATCCAATGACTTTTTCGACTTTGAAGTACTTGTGACAGGAGGCGTCAGATATCCGTTGATCTGACCTGTCATCGAAATGACTTTTAACAGCGGCAAGTCAAGAACTTTCACTCCTTAAAGCTCAGCTCGTCCAATTCAAATTGATTGCGGATGAAAGTTTCGTTAGCAATTAAGGTTAATTATCGACAGCAGCCAAACAACAACACATATCATTACGTAATTTCACTTAATTATAATTCATTGGCATTAAGGTTTATGTTTTAACTTGTAAGTAAGATTAAATCACTTCTTTATGTTACTCCTTTCAAGCAACTTTAACCCTTTCTTAAAGCTTCCCCTTCCTGCCTCAGCTAGGACTCATTTTAAGGCCAAATTTCCTAGTTTTTCCTTACCCCTTCACCTGTCTAATAAAAAAAAAAGAGGAGTAAATCCCATCTTGTTTTTTTTTTTAGCATCAAGCAGCCGTCAACAACTGCGACCAATCGCAGCTAATCAAAATCCGGTCGTGACCCGAGGCTTCGTCTATGGATAAAGAAAAAAAGGTTTCACGGCCAACAGGACAGAAGAAGACAAGTTTGTAGGGTATTGGTAAAAGACTCGAACTTAAGATACCTTATATTAGATAATATAATATTTCTTAATTAAACTATCTTTTAAATTTGTTTAAAAACTTTTAAGAACTTTTGACTAATTTTTGAATATTTTTATAGACCTTGATCATACCCATTACGAGTTTGCTACCTTATGTCCGTACGTTCATGTGCTAGTCATAAATTCAACTTTTTGCCGTTTTCTATGCGACGTTTCATTAAAAATTTAGCAAAAGCCACCTTCGCCAGGAGTTGGTACATCGAGGAGATGACAAACCCAACGCCCAACGCCCATCCCCTTACCATATACCATTCCAACCATATTTCCCCATCTAGCCGGGACTTTTGGAGGCTGTAAAGTGCGTTTGTTGGCGTTACTTTATGGCCGGAGCGCATGTAAACACGTGGCCACGTGGCGATGGGGCCACTTGCCCAAAACGGAATCTAAGGTTATAGGGATGAGGTTTGAGGGATGTGGACTAGAGGAAGTCGAAGGAAAACGACGAAGACGGCGATGGCAATGGGGATGAAGATGGAGATGGAAATGGAGCTGGGGTATATGTGGACGGGGTGATGTCCCAGCTGCTTCACGACACCAACACGTAATGATTGTCCTTGCCACATGCACAGGGAGAAAAGTTTGGAATCAAAGTCAATGAATAAATCTGGAACCTACTTCCTATTTACGGATTTTCTTGGTAATTTTCAAGCTTTTAAAACAAAGTTTTTATAGACATTTTCTTTAGATTAAGTTTATGAAATATATTTCCTGCAACTCTCATGAACTATTGACCTCAGTGCAGAGACAAACCCAACAAGGCCCGCATTAAATTCATGCCCTTCGACAACTGCGCCTCATACATTTTTATGACTTACAGTCATATTTATAGAGTCTCTGGGAATCTGGGTGCCCACTTAGCGGTCCTGTAGCCATGTCTCCTGTCGCTCAGTCAACGCATAAAGTCTGCTACCATCTAAGCTAAATTAGGCAAAAGGATGCCCAAACACAACACCAAAGTTATCTACGAAGAGAGACAGAGAGAGGGGGAGAGATCACCTCAAGGACATTGGAGGACTTGTCGATGGACTGCATTAATTATGCTTATTTATTTAATGCCATTTGTTCATTGTCCAGTTGCTGTTTGGCTCGGGACTTTTCCTTTCCGGGTCATTATCATCATCAGGCTGGCATCTCCTGGCATCTCGTGGCATCTCCTGATATTCACATCCTCATCGTCATCAGCTCAATTGAATTAATGCGCCCAATTGCATATGGAAATGCCGTAAGAATGTATGGGTGTTTGCTGTCGGCATTACGCGACAACGTAAAGTGATTACGTTATGATGTGCGGGGACGGACAGCAAAATGAAAATGGAAAAAGCAAGCCAGGACATTTGCCACTCCATGCACTACTTATGCCATGCAATCAGGATGAGCTCAAGTCAACTGACTTAAGTTAAACACTTGACATTTAAGGGAAAATAAAAATCTGGAGGCGAATTATAGGACAGCTTTCCCCTTGGTTTTGGTAAGGTTAACATCTTCTCTTCTTCTTTAAATGTCTCTAATATGATAAAGTTATGTTTAAGTTAGTGGAATTGCTAAAACTTATACTGTTTTACTTAAAAAATGTTGCTGCTTTATAATATAGAAATTGGAACAGATTCTATGTAGTCCTTGTAACCCTTTTATAGTTTTTCTTCTATCAAGTGATCAAAAAGTATATAATACGGATATAATACAGATTCTATAAAGTCAGTTTCCTTTCAATTATATACATTACTTATCAAATAGGTTCAAGACTATATAGTTTAGTATGCCTAAAATCCATAAAACTGAAGCCTCAATAAGTGTTAGCTTCGAAATCACTCATACGCAGCGTTGCCTTTAACTAGTTTCTTCTTTTCTAACTTGCTTCACATATTTTACTTATCAAAAATGTTCCAGACTGTACAGTTTAGTATGCTTTAAATCCATAAAACTGAAGCCTCAATAAGTCTTATCTTCAAAATTACTCATACGCAGCGTTGCCTTTAACTAGCCAACCTATGCAAGTTTCTTCTTTTCTAACTTACTTCTACCTTACCTAAATACAAATAAATAAATATAAAACTAATCAAAATTATTTATAAGTTTTTTTACGTATTTTTAAGTTAATTTATGTTACTCTAACTTTTAGCTAGCAAATAAGCTTCGAGTGTTTTACATTTTCCACTAAGTTATGCCATGATTGTGCAAATTCTATCTTTGAATTTTCACCCACAATCGTAAGACTTAAGTTTGGAAGCCATGCAAATCGCCTAAGCCAAACACGCTCCTTGTTCCTTCGAATGCGGCAAAGACAAAAGCCAACGCAAGAGAAAAACCAAAAAAAAATAAAAAGAATAAAAAACAAAAACGAGCATAAATAAAGGGAAAATCTGAAATACAAAATACCAGCGATATTTCAAAAATATATATATATTCTATATATATATAAATAGGAAAAAAAAAAAGAAAACCCCAACACATACGTGAGAAACCGAGCGTAACTTCGGGAAAACCTCCAAAGAAGAAAACCAGGCAGAGCCAGCCAAGCCAGCCAAGCCAGCCAGCCAGCCAAGCCATCCAGCCAGCAAATATATAAATCGAGGCAAGGGAAATCTCAGCCATTATTTGGCATTATTGGAAGTAAACGAATTTCAAAATGCAAGCCATTCGAAACACAAGGCAAATGTCTTTAAAATCGGCCAATTTGGAAACGAGATTAAAACCAAGTTGGCAGACACACAGAAGGCACAAAGTGCCGAATCAAAACAGCCGGGATGGCAGCAGGGACAGGGACTTACCGTGCACAGGATACGGATATGTTGCACGTCCTTGGGCAGTGTCAATAAAGCGCAACAAAGAGCTCGGCCAAGAGCAAGTCGTGTCAATATTTTGACTGTGTTTTAGCCTTGGCTCCTTGTCTCTCTCTCTCTGCCAGCCGGTATTGTATTGGAATCGATACACTGTAAGAAAAATTGCCTATTAATATTGGTAAAAAAAATATATAGAAAAACTGTACAAATGATATAAAAATTTATAATTAAAGATTTCTTAAGATTTTTGTTACCTTTTTAGTTATCTGATAAAAAATAATTAACAAATTTTCTTTTCAGTGGATCTGTGTGTCTTGGGAGCTTTGGTGGTCCAGCGACTGCCTTTCCTCTCCGGAGGTGGCCATGCGCGTCCAGCGTCGGGAATATTGATGCCCCTGGAGCGTGCCGCTGGGAATGCCATGTGCCAGTTGACCAAAAAAGAAAAGAAAAAAAAAAAGAAAAAAATAGAAAGGAGGAGAGACACGAGCGCATGTTAAACACTGGCCGAGCAAGCCCATCCTCTGGCCATGGGCCAAGGAGCCATCCACTGACTGGCAGGGGGAGGAAGGGACGACATAAATTAGCGGCAGGCCGGTCTCCTACGCTCTTGGCCAAAAGTTCTGCGGTGCTATGGTGCCTCATATTGCGGCACGCAGTTTATCATTGTGTCGGTTCAGCGTTTTGACCCCTGACTCCCTAATCTCCTCCTCTTTCCTCCTTCTTCAAAAAAAACTCTCAGATCCTTTTACCGTAACGCAACGTAAACTACAAGCGGGTTGCCACTGACGCTGCTGCTCCCGCTGCTGCTGCTGCTGCTGTTGCACATCACGTGACTTGCCAGCCAAATGAAATTCTTGGCGGCGCCACATGGCACAAAACGCTTCCGTAATTGAGTTGCCCCCCGCATGTGTGGCATACATGTAATTACTTAATATTCCTGTCTTGAAGAAGGACAATCCGCACTTGTCAGAAGCTCAGCAAGTTTCTATGTCCTTGTCCTTGGCCAAATCACTTGATATTAACTACTAATTATAAGCACTGCCCGAAGTTCTTAGTTAAAGTTACTATTTCTATTACTTTAATATAAACTTAGTACTGATTATCAACCTAAGAGTTGATCTTTATAAAAACCAAACCATAAATAAATCAATTTTGTTAACACATTTTGTAGTGTAACGATTAACATTTAATTTTAAAGAATATTCAATTTTAAAGTTTTTAAGTTCAAACTAAAAGTTCAATGTTTTGTTCTTTTGCAAATCTCTCATTAAGTTATCTTGCGATTCTTTTTCTTCCAATTAAATCTAATTTTAAGGAAAATTAAAACAAACAAGTAAAAACATATTTTTAAAACTTACCAAAACGTTTTGTTATTTTAGGGAAAATTTAAGTAAATTTCAACGGAAAATTCGTGTTTCTTTTTCTATCAAAGAATATAAACTAGTCATTAGTTAGAGGTCGTCGTCTTGCAGTTCTTTTTCTTCTAGATAAATCTAATTTTAAGATAAATTTAAGCCAGTTTAAGGCATATTTTTAAAACATACCATTAGTTTTTTGTTATCTTGTTATTTTAGGGTAAACAATTTTAAAGATTTCCTAATTCATGTTGTAAATTAATGTTTTTTTTTTCAAAAATTATGTTTCCCTCATCAATTAAGACATCTTTTTCAGTGCTTTCTCTTCCAGTTAAATCTTATTTAACAGAAAATTAACAAAAATTCAATCATTAATATATAAACCTTATTAAAACTTACCATAAATTATGTTATCTTCTTGTATTAGGAATACAATTTCAAGCTGCTTTCATGTTTCAAGTTTATGTTTCATGTTTCATGTTTCGTTTTCTATCAAAGAATGTAAATTCGTCATCATAAAGTCTTCGTTCAGCTCTTTCACGTTCAGTGAAATCTAATTTAAAGAAAATTAAAACAAATTTAAAACATATCAACCATTTGTACATAAATCTTATTAGAACTTACCATGAGTTTTGTTATTTTGGGAAAAAATGTTCAAAAAAGTGTAAATTCAAACTGCAGTTCTTTCAGTCCTTTCACGTTCAGTGAAATCAAATTTAAAGGAAAATTAAAACAAAGTTAAAATATTAGACATTAGCACATATTTCTTAGTAAAACATACCATAAATTTTGTTACTTAGTTATTTTGAATTCAAACTGCATGTTAATATTATTTTCCTGACAATAAATAAATAATATTAAGTCGTCTTGCTAGTGCAGTTAAATCTAATTTAAAAGAAAATTATCAAAAATCTAACATAATGCCAGCATTAGTATATATCAATCCTACCATAAATTGTGTTATCCTGAAATATTTATAAAGCCAAATCGCGGAAAGTTCAAGAAAAAAAACTCGGAAAACAATATAAAAAAAATCAGCAATCATCATATTCCGTTTCGTCTAACGTTTCATTCCTGCCGCATATCTCAATCCTGGTAAATTGCGTAATAGTAAATAAAATGCCACGCCCAATAGCATTTTGTATCTTTGAATCAAACCTTGTTGCTGGACATTGGACCCATCTTCTACGGCTGCATTTGCATTAGGATTGCATAGATCTACGTCCAAGTTCTAAGTTATGACTCTTACTTACCATTATCAGTTGGTTCTGAATTGGTTGGAATGTCTTCAGTGTTGTCCTCTTCATTGAGCTCCGAGTTGGATTCGTCGTCATTTTCTTGAATTTCAACCCAGCTGGAGGGATCCTCTAGAGATTCAAAGATGTTTATATTACCCATAGCTGGAACTTCTTCGGGTTCTAATTCCCAATTGGGATCTAGTTGAGAATTTAAGTTATTCGAATTTCCATTCGATTTATCGACATTATTAATATTTTCATTTGGTTCCGGATTGGATGGATCTTCTTGGTTCTCCAAGTTGTTATTAGCATTATCTATTGGTTCTGGGTTAGATGAATCATCTTCTTGTTTTATGTTAATATTATTTTCAATTGGTTCGTCTTGATATTCTAAGTTCTGGGGATTTCCATTTGATGGGTTAGCACTTTCATTTGGTTCTGGATTAGATGGTTCTTCGATCGGATTGTTAGCATTTTCAGTTGGTAACAAACCTGATAAATCTGCAAGAGGCTCCAAGCTTTTAGCATTCCCATTTGGTTCTTGGTTTAATGGTTCTACTTTCACTTCTATACTCTCCTCTTGGTTTGCCAAATTGTTAGCATTACCAGTTGAAGGAGCTTCTTGGATATCCAAATTGTTATCATTACCAGTTGAAAGCGCTTCTTGGATCTCCAAATTATTAGCATTTCCAGGGGAACAAGCCTCTTGGTTTCCCACACTGCTAGCATTTCCAGTTCGTAACAAATCTGATGGATCTTCTAGAACAATGCCAATGGGTTCCAAGTTTAATGGATCTACCTGAGGCTCCAAGTTGTTAACATTTTCATTTAATGGAGCTTCTAAGATTTCCATATTGTTAGCATTGTCAATCACAAACATACGTGGTCGATCTGTTTGCAGTTGTAAATTTGATAGATCTAGACGTTCCACATTTACAACACACACCATATTTCTCGGTCTAGGGACTTCCAGTTTAGCTTTCTTCGCTGATTTCTTATAATCACTTTTGGCATGCTTCCTGCGACGCATCTTTGATATTCGATTAGCTAAATAATCTCACTATTTCGCTTTGATATATTCGAACAACCTGAAAACGAATGACAACCGGTTAGTAACCTTAGTATAGTCAACTAAATCAGAGTCTGCTTGTTTATTTACACGCAGTTGATATTCAAACCGCACAGCCCTCTAGGATTTCTCTCTCTCTCTCCCTCCACCAGCCCGCCTTTCCCATATTAGTTTTTAATTATGCCACATTTGATTGCATTAACTTGCCCACGCAGTTGTTTACGCAAATACGCGAAAATAAATACAAAAAAAAAAAACAAATATAAATCAAAAGAAATAAAAAAAAGGGGTAGGAAAAGTGCTGCGAATGCTGCAATGAAATAAATAATAACCACAAAAATGCAATTTAATACAAATCTAATTCGAGCACATCAAACTGGCCAGCTGTCCGTGTGTAAAATCAAGCCTCCCCCTAACCTCCCCTTGCAAAAAAAAAAAAAAAATCCCAACCGTTCATGGCGATTTTTAATTGAAAGCGCGACTTTTGGGCTTTCGACCAAACACCCACGCAGACAGCAGCAGCAGCAGCAACAGCAACAGCAGCAGCATTTGGCAACAGCAGCTGCATAAATTTCATTAGTAAACTTTTAATTAGAAAAATTTCAGCATGAATTTAATTAGTGCAGATACACACACACACACACACATGAATGGAGAGACAAAGCCGAAAATTAAATTTAATAAAATGAAATGAAAATGAAAATGAAAATGAAATGCAGCTAACCCACTGCCAACACCTGACAACTGGCTGACAATCGTAATGTGCAGCGGCCAAACAAAGCATTTCAGTCAGCCATTGGTCGGGTGGTTGGTGGGTTAAAGCCAAAAAACCACTTTTCCAAAAACGCAATATTAACAAACACGGAAAGCCAAACAAATAATAGTCTTGAAAAATATATATCACTGATCGAAAAATTATATGCTTTTAGAGTCAAAAGTAAATTATAAATTGTCAATTTTCGAATAATCCACAAAACCTTTCTACAATTTTCTAGAATTTTTGTATTAAATTTTGCTTATTTTTAGGAAAGTTTAAAAACTTATTTAAGAGGAGATAAACTTTACCATCTAAGGAATAATATTTAAATAAGATTTTAAAACATTTAAATACAATCTTCTAGAAATTTTAAAATATTTTTGATTTTTTTTTTTGTTACTTTTAAATGATTTTCTTTGACTTTTGATTTTTTTCTAGAATTTCTAAACATTTTAAGACACTTTTTATAAGAAACTAACCCAAAATACAAATATTTCTAAAACATTCCAAAAGTCAAAACATTTTCCTTATATTTTCTTCAATTTAAATTTAAAATAAAATCAAAAATATAAAGAAAATTGTAGAAAACTTTCACAAGAAAGCGTAAAAGTGTATTTAGTAAAACCAAAAAGTTCTTATTTAGTTAATAATGTACCTTAATTAAAACGGTAAATACCACCGAAATATAAACAAAGATGAAAGAGGAAAGGGGGCGGAAAGTTCGGTAGATTTTAGGAGGAAGCTGATGCTGGCTGCTGGCTGCTGGCTGCATCGTGTAATTATGTCTTGGCAGATTCGACCAACTAATTGCCAAGGTAACAACCAACGAGGACACGAAGTCGCCATACGAAAACGTCACGTTCTGTTGCCAGCAATTATGTGGCTCACATATAACAACAACAACAAAAGCCACAGCATGGACATAACAAAGAGATCACCGTGTTAGCCGGGCCAGAAGACACTGGGCGAAATATGCTAATTATGATGGGAGCCTTCATCACCGGACATTAGAACACCACAAACAGTGGCCGTGACGCAATCATTGTGTGGCCGTGCATCGATTGTATGGCCAAGTTAAGTTAACTTGAGCTTAAAACAAGATTTGCTATACACGTTAACTTGAAAGTTATAGAAAGTTAGGAGAAAAAATGTTATAAAATATAGAAAATATTTTTTTTGAATGTAATTTGCTGCCCTTTTGAGTCACCTTTCCTTGCAAGTCTTTGGAATTATAGTTCAAATCGAAATCAAAATGTTTTAAAATTAGTTTACAAACTTTTAAAGTTATGTTACTTTGATATCAAACTTGATTTGATGGCTTAGTAAGCCTAGGAAGTACTTTTTGGAGTTAACTTTCTGCTGGAAGCCATTCAAAACTATGTAATACCAACATTATTTATACTAAAAACAAGCAAAGCAGATAATTATTAAAATAAAATTACAAACTAAAAAGTGCTCTATCAAAATTTGTATCAGATTCTTCAAGATTTTGGCTTAAGAACTTAAAATTTGGCACATAAAATGAAGCCAACCTTCAGTTCAAGAATAAGTCAAGTCACAAACTCATTTTTAAGAAAGCTCAATAAATCCAATTCAAGTTAACCCATCTTAAGACAAATATCACAAGTCATAACCTAATGATTAAAAATATCTCTAAAAAGACACTTTCCCCGTGTTTTCCCTATCAATTTCCATGGACAAAGCTTGGTTTATACACTGCCAAGAACTTTATGTTTTGGCGACATATCCATAGATCTGGCATTCCAATATGATTATCACTGACCCTGAGGTCAGGTGGCGTCACGCTTAACGTGATGTACTGCCGCAATTGGTGTAATTACAGAATGAGGAAGTGCAGCGGTCGATGGGCAGTCAGGCAAACACACATATACGAGTATATATATATGGTAATTATGCTGCCAATCATAACGCCAAGCGGGGGTTAACCGGACCCTCCTCCTCCCCCGAAATCTATTTTCGTTCGTACATTTTCAGAGTAATTTATGTTTAGTCGCTGCTAAATTTATTGGTTGTTTTTGTTTTTGTTTTTTTCAGTTAACAACTGCAGCGTTGCTGACGTCTCTAGCAATTAATCGCTATGTGATTAATCATTTTCTATGCAAATATATATATATCTACTAGTATATAACCCTTCTCAAAGACACGCGAACTTCTCGAACTTTAAATTTGAATTTGAATTTGACTTGAAGCAACTTTATGGATCTGATCAATCTGATGACTGCTAAGAGATCTTTAATTACAACGGCAGTTAAGAGCTGAGTACAGGTCTAGCCAGCCAGTCGAGAGATCGTGGTTGGTTGCGGCCCGCCAGCCGCTCACAAATCATTCATAATCATAACTTTGGCTAATCATATATAATATTATACATAACCCATAGAGAGAACTGCAATTGAGTCAGCTTAATAAAAACCCAAGAATTATTGCGTGCAATTTGAATGGAAATTGTAAATGGGCTACGTAAGTGGAAAATAGTTTATTCGTGAGAAGTGACGCATATATAGAAAATCAATGAACAATTGGAAATGCTAATGATATTATAGGTTTTTTTTCTTTCTAGTGTCTGCAATTAATATATCTTATTTATGGGAATTTGATTTGCCAAAATAATATCAATGATCACATTGAATGAGTAGAACTTCTTAAAGAAACTCAGTGATGTGATTTGGCCAATAAAAAGAAACAACCAAGCGACGTCTCGTAATTGGCCAATAAAAGATGAAACAAAATCTAGATGTTAAGTTCAATGGTCCGAAGAGTCAAATACCCTGGCAGACACATGAAACTAAAAGCTTTTACTTTGATTTACAATCCGAGAATATGTCACGTACGAAAAGAACTGATTTCTTTTTAACAAAATAGTTAACATAAAATATAAATTAATGAATTTTAAAAAGCAAAACTATAAGATTATAAAACCTTAGAAACCTATAAATAGAATTGACCCAGAATCGGAGTCCAGAAACCATGTACATAAGACTAAATCTATTCTTCTTTTTCTACGTCACGTTGGTCAAAGTCATAATCATTGGTTTTATTTTTTTTTTTTAACTTATTATTATTGGCATTTTTCGGTTTTTTGCATATTTCGCATTTTAGTTTTGTTTTTGTTTTTTTCATAGCTCATAGCTTGAGCTGTCCAAGGGGGGGGCATTGTTATTTTAATTAACTCCGATTAGGTGTGAGGCACGTTTCTGTCGACGTTTCTTTAATTTCTGTATTTTTCCTGCGTTCTTTACATTTCGCGTTGTATGTTTCTTTTTTTATTATTATTATTATGTGTTTCTGTTTATGTTGTTTTTTCTTTTTTGGGTTTACGACATTGTCTGGTATTGTGTTAACGGCTCTTAGCTGGGCTAGTAGTAGTAGTAAAAAACTAGGCGGAAAGTCAATAATTCCCCGAGTCAGCTACTTATCGGCAATTGCCTTGAAGCGAGCTGTTTTCCCACACTTGCCGGCGGTAACTGATTAATACCACTTACACGAGGCGGGGAACAGCCCCAGACCCAGACCCAGAGCTGATGCCAAACCGGTTTGGATCTATGGTAATATGGGGGTAATATAGGAGTGATCTAGTGGTGCAGCGTGTGCGGTGCAATGCCGGAAGCTGGATGAAGATGAGGGATGAGCACAGGTTGGCCAACCAACTGCCTTCTGTACACTGTGCAAAAAAAGTAAGAAACTTTCTTAGACTTACCATACAATATAAAGCTATAATCACAGCACAACAATCTTGATTTCACTCTCGATCGTATATTGTATGACTTTAGCCGAATAAAATACAAATTTTAAGATTTTTGATAGATAAATTTTTCACTTAAAAGTTCCAGTCACAATGGTTATCAAAGGCAAAGGCAGTCTATAACTGCTTTGATGTGACTGCTATGTCTAGAGGTTCTTCGATTGCTTTTCAAATTTCATTTAAAACTCCCAACTTGTAATTCCCAAAAAGTTTTCTTCTTAGAACATATTAGTTTCATTAGAAATCCTACCTAACATTGACCATATCTAATGTTCATCATCTTCGCTTTAAGTGTCCCAAACTATAAATAACTTAATTTCCACCTAATCATACCCACCAAAGACTATGATTAAGATAATATTTTAAAAATGGCCACATCCGATGTCCTCATATTAAAGCTCCACTAATTCCCATGGCTAATTTCTTTCTAATGAGAACCAGTTGTGGACGTCGGCAACGCTGACCCAACCCTAAGGTGTTGGGAAAAGCAGCGACGCCAACTGAGCCATAACCCATTCATAAAACCAAAGTGACGCTCGACCTCAGATCAGTAGCGTGTTGACCGTCGAGATGCCGAGATTGTTGAGCAAGTGCAGCATCGCCGCTCTATGGGCGTCTGCAGTGCTCGTTACGTATGTGAATTGTGCTGAAAATGGAGCTATAACCATGCCCACTACCACCGATGGACCAAAGCCAACGGGTGGCTATTGTGCAGCGGCACTGTGTGAACTGTACAATGGGACACATTTGGTGCAAGTGCCGCATACTGCTTGTGGCAATAATGGTAGCTTTTCACCCACCTGTGGACCCGAGCCCAAGCTCTTGGAAATGAGCGAGCGGCGTCGTCAACTGCTGCTGGACATGCACAATCTGGCCAGATCAAAGATCGCAAATGGAGATTTGGATGGCTATCGTAGTGCTGCCCATATGCCGGTCCTGCGCTGGGACAACGAACTGGAGCAAATGGCCGCCCTGCATGCCAAACGTTGCCAATTTGCCCACGACAAGTGCCGCAATACACCGCGTTTCAAGTTTAGTGGCCAGAATATTGGTTACTTTTGGATTGGACGCGAGTTCAAGTCGCATTCGCGTCGCATGAAATCCTTTGTGATCAACTGGTTCCGCGAATACCAGGACGCCAATCAGAGTTTCATCGATAGATATCACCCACATCCGCAGGGGTAAGTCAGCCGAATACTAGACGAAGACAAGAAAGAAATGTGATATAATTTTCAAAGTTGTTTAAGGCATTTTAGAACTTTTTTATATTATTACTAAATTCATAATTCTTTTTCCCACAGCAAGAAGATTGGTCACTTTACACTCCTGGTCTCGGATCGAGTGAATCGCGTGGGCTGTGCCGGTATCCGTTTTCTAGAGCCCAATGCCAATCGATTCCAATTCATGTTGACGTGCAACTATAACTACAATAATATATTCAACGAACCGATCTATCAATCGGGTCCAGCGGCATCTAAGTGCCCGCAGCACCGGATCAGTGAAAAGTTCCCCGGATTGTGCGATCCACGGGATGCCAGCAATGATTTTGAAAGTGAAGAGAGCGCTGAAGACGACAACACCCTGGACAACAATATACCCTTGTAAAAGGGATCAGTCCATAGGATTAGGAATATATAATACTCATAGCCAAACATCTGGATTAAGTTACAAAGCATACGATTTTTTTTTTGTTATTTTTATAAAACAAGTGTTTTAGAATCTTTAAAAAGAACGCATTACGTTATCTGTCAATCTCTAAGTGAGTTGAGTGTGTACTATAATAGAACTTTGCATTAATTAGTGTTTCGAAAAGCTTAGCACTACTGTAGACCTATTTGGAACTTTGATTTCTCCTATATAACATCAGAAACGGTTGTTAATGGTGCCCCAGATATCACATCAAAAATATTGAATGGTGGCAAGGATGCGGTGGTTGAAACAGTTGTCGTCTCCTCAGAAGTTGACTTTTGCGAAGTCGACTTCTCTGTAGTGTGCTTAGTTGGTTTCAGCGTTGTCGGCTTCTCGGATGTCTTCTCTGTGGGCTTGACAGTCGTTGCCTCAGTTGGTTTCAGCGTTGTCGGTTTAACCGATGTCTTCTCTGTTGGGTTCACAGTCGTTGCTTCAGTTGGTTTCAGCGTTGTCGGTTTCGCCGATGTCTTCTCTGTGGGCTTGGCAGTCGTTGCCTCAGTTGGTTTCAGAGTTGTCGGTTTAGCCGATGTCTTCTCTGTAGGCTTCACAGTCGTTGCCTCAGTTGGTTTCAGCGTTGTCGGCTTCTCCGATGTCTTCTCTGTGGGCTTCACAGTCGTTGCCTCAGTTGGTTTCAGCGTTGTCGGCTTCTCCGATGTCTTCTCTGTGGGCTTGACAGTCGTTGCCTCAGTTGGTTTCAGAGTTGTCGGCTTTTCCGACGTCTTTTCTGTGGGATTCACAGTCGTTGCCTCAGTTGGTTTCAGAGTTGTCGGTTTAGCCGATGTCTTCTCTGTAGGCTTCACAGTCGTTGCCTCAGTTGGTTTCAGCGTTGTCGGCTTCTCCGATGTCTTCTCTGTGGGCTTCACAGTCGTTGCCTCAGTTGGTTTCAGCGTTGTCGGCTTCTCCGATGTCTTCTCTGTGGGCTTGACAGTCGTTGCCTCAGTTGGTTTCAGAGTTGTCGGCTTTTCCGACGTCTTTTCTGTGGGATTCACAGTCGTTGCCTCAGTTGGTTTCAGAGTTGTCGGTTTAGCCGATGTCTTCTCTGTAGGCTTCACAGTCGTTGCCTCAGTTGGTTTCAGCGTTGTCGGCTTCTCCGATGTCTTCTCTGTGGGCTTCACAGTCGTTGCCTCAGTTGGTTTCAGCGTTGTCGGCTTCTCCGATGTCTTCTCTGTGGGCTTCACAGTCGTTGCCTCAGTTGGTTTCAGAGTTGTCGGCCTAGCCGATGTCTTCTCCGTGGGCTTCACAGTCGTTGCCTCGGTTGGTTTCAGCGTTGTCGGCTTCTCCGATGTTTTATCTGTGGGCTTCACAGTCGTTGCCTCAGTTGGTTTCAGAGTTGTCGGCTTTTCCGACGTCTTTTCTGTGGGATTCACAGTCGTTGCCTCAGTTGGTTTCAGAGTTGTCGGCTTAGCCGATGTCTTCTCCGTGGGCTTCACAGTCGTTGCCTCGGTTGGTTTCAGCGTTGTCGGCTTCTCCGATGTCTTCTCTGTGGGCTTCACAGTCGTTGCCTTAGTTGGTTTCAGAGTTGTCGGCTTTTCCGACGTCTTTTCTGTGGGCTTTACAGTCGTTGCCTCAGTTGGTTTCAGCGTTGTCGGCTTTTGCGATGTCTTCTCTGTGGGCTTCACAGTCGTTGCCTCAGTTGGTTCCAGAGTTGTCGGTTTAGCCGATGTCTTCTCTGTGGGCTTCACAGTCGTTGCCTCAGTTGGTTTCAGCGTTGTCGGCTTTTTGCGATGTCTTCTCTGTGGGCTTCACAGTCGTTGCCTTGGTTGGTTTTACCGTTGTCGGCTTTTCCGATGTCTTCTCTGTAGGCTTCACAGTCGTTGCCTCGGTTGGTTTCAGCGTTGTCGGCTTCTCCGATGTCTTCTCTGTGGGCTTCACAGTCGTTGCCTCAGTTGGTTTCAGCGTTGTCGGTTTTTCCGATGTCTTCTCTGTGGGCTTCACAGTCGTTGCCTCAGTTGGTTTCAGCGTTGTCGGCTTCTCCGATGTCTTCTCTGTAGGCTTCACAGTCGTTGCCTCAGTTGGTTTCAGAGTTGTCGGCTTCTCCGATGTCTTCTCTGTGGGCTTCACAGTCGTCGCCTCAGTTGGTTTCAGAGTTGTTGGTTTCTCCGATGTCTTCTCTGTGGGCTTCACAGTCGTTGCCTCAGTTGGTTTCAGCGTTGTCGGTTTAGCCGATGGCTTCTCTGTGGGCTTTACTGTCGTTGCCTCAGTTGGTTTCAGCGTTGTCGGCTTTTGCGATGTCTTCTCTGTGGGCTTCACAGTCGTTGCCTTGGTTGGTTTTACCGTTGTCGGCTTTTCCGATGTCTTCTCTGTGGGCTTCACAGTCGTTGCCTCAGTTGGTTTCAGAGTTGTTGGTTTAGCCGATGTCTTCTCTGTGGGCTTTACTGTCGTTGCCTCAGTTGGTTTCAGCGTTGTCGGCTTCTCCGATGTCTTCTCTGTGGGCTTCACAGTCGTTGCCTCAGTTGGTTTCAGAGTTGTCGGCTTTTCCGACGTCTTTTCTGTGGGCTTCACAGTCGTTGCCTCAGTTGGTTTCAGAGTTGTCGGCTTAGCCGATGTCTTCTCCGTGGGCTTCACAGTCGTTGCCTCAGTTGGTTTCAGCGTTGTCGGCTTCTGCGATGTCTTCTCTGTGGGCTTCACAGTCGTTGCCTCAGTTGGTTTCAGAGTTGTCGGTTTAGCCGATGTCTTCTCTGTGGGCTTCACAGTCGTTGCCTCAGTTGGTTTCAGCGTTGTCGGCTTTTGCGATGTCTTCTCTGTGGGCTTCACAGTCGTTGCCTTGGTTGGTTTTACCGTTGTCGGCTTTTCCGATGTCTTCTCTGTAGGCTTGACAGTCGTTGCCTCGGTTGGTTTCAGCGTTGTCGGCTTCTCCGATGTCTTCTCTGTGGGCTTCACAGTCGTTGCCTCAGTTGGTTTCAGCGTTGTCGGCTTCTCCGATGTCTTCTCTGTGGGCTTCACAGTCGTTGCCTTGGTTGGTTTTACCGTTGTCGGCTTTTCCGATGTCTTCTCTGTAGGCTTCACAGTCGTTGCCTCGGTTGGTTTCAGCGTTGTCGGCTTCTCCGATGTCTTCTCTGTGGGCTTCACAGTCGTTGCCTTGGTTGGTTTTACCGTTGTCGGCTTTTCCGTTGTCTTCTCTGTGGGCTTCACTGTCGTTGCCTCAGTTGGTTTCAGAGTTGTCGGCTTAGCCGATGTCTTCTCCGTGGGCTTCACAGTCGTTGCCTCGGTTGGTTTCAGCGTTGTCGGCTTCTCCGATGTTTTATCTGTGGGCTTCACAGTCGTTGCCTTAGTTGGTTTCAGAGTTGTCGGCTTTTCCGACGTCTTTTCTGTGGGATTCACAGTCGTTGCCTCAGTTGGTTTCAGAGTTGTCGGCTTAGCCGATGTCTTCTCCGTGGGCTTCACAGTCGTTGCCTCGGTTGGTTTCAGCGTTGTCGGCTTCTCCGATGTCTTCTCTGTGGGCTTCACAGTCGTTGCCTTAGTTGGTTTCAGAGTTGTCGGCTTTTCCGACGTCTTTTCTGTGGACTTTACAGTCGTTGCCTCAGTTGGTTTCAGCGTTGTCGGCTTTTGCGATGTCTTCTCTGTGGGCTTCACAGTCGTTGCCTCAGTTGGTTTCAGAGTTGTTGGTTTCTCCGATGTCTTTTCTGTGGGCTTCACAGTCGTTGCCTCAGTTGGTTTCAGAGTTGTCGGTTTAGCCGATGTCTTCTCTGTGGTCTTCACAGTCGTTGCCTCAGTTGGTTTCAGCGTTGTCGGCTTTTGCGATGTCTTCTCTGTGGGCTTCACAGTCGTTGCCTTGGTTGGTTTTACCGTTGTCGGCTTTTCCGATGTCTTCTCTGTAGGCTTCACAGTCGTTGCCTCGGTTGGTTTCAGCGTTGTCGGCTTCTCCGATGTCTTCTCTGTGGGCTTCACAGTCGTTGCCTCAGTTGGTTTCAGCGTTGTCGGTTTTTCCGATGTCTTCTCTGTGGGCTTCACAGTCGTTGCCTCAGTTGGTTTCAGCGTTGTCGGCTTCTCCGATGTCTTCTCTGTAGGCTTCACAGTCGTTGCCTCAGTTGGTTTCAGAGTTGTCGGTTTAGCCGATGTCTTCTCTGTGGGCTTCACAGTCGTTGCCTCAGTTGGTTTCAGAGTTGTTGGTTTCTCCGATGTCTTCTCTGTGGGCTTCACATTCGTTGCCTCAGTTGGTTTCAGAGTTGTCGGTTTAGCCGATGTCTTCTCTGTGGGCTTTACTGTCGTTGCCTCAGTTGGTTTCAGCGTTGTCGGCTTCTCCGATGTCTTCTCTGTGGGCTTCACAGTCGTGGCCTCAGTTGGTTTCAGAGTTGTTGGTTTCTCCGATGTCTTCTCTGTGGGCTTCACAGTCGTTGCCTCAGTTGGTTTCAGAGTTGTCGGTTTAGCCGATGTCTTCTCTGTAGGCTTTACTGTCGTTGCCTCAGTTGGTTTCAGAGTTGTTGGTTTCTCCGATGTCTTCTCTGTGGGCTTCACAGTCGTTGCCTCAGTTGGTTTCAGAGTTGTCGGCTTCTCCGATGTCTTCTGTGGGCTTCACAGTCGTTGCCTCAGTTGGTTTCAGAGTTGTCGGTTTAGCCGATGTCTTCTCTGTGGGCTTTACTGTCGTTGCCTCAGTTGGTTTCAGCGTTGTCGGCTTCTCCGATGTCTTCTCTGTGGGCTTCACAGTCGTTGCCTCAGTTGGTTTCAGAGTTGTCGGTTTAGCCGATGTCTTCTCTGTGGGCTTTACTGTCGTTGCCTCAGTTGGTTTCAGCGTTGTCGGCTTCTCCGATGTCTTCTCTGTGGGCTTCACAGTCGTTGCCTCAGTTGGTTTCAGAGTTGTCGGCTTCTCCGATGTCTTCTTGTGGGCTTCACAGTCGTTGCCTCAGTTGGTTTCAGAGTTGTCGGTTTAGCCGATGTCTTCTCTGTGGGCTTTACTGTCGTTGCCTCAGTTGGTTTCAGCGTTGTCGGCTTCTCCGATGTCTTCTCTGTGGGCTTCACAGTCGTTGCCTCAGTTGGTTTCAGAGTTGTCGGTTTAGCCGATGTCTTCTCTGTGGGCTTTACTGTCGTTGCCTCAGTTGGTTTCAGCGTTGTCGGCTTCTCCGATGTCTTCTCTGTGGGCTTCACAGTCGTTGCCTCAGTTGGTTTCAGAGTTGTTGGTTTCTCCGATGTCTTCTCTGTGGGCTTCACAGTCGTTGCCTCAGTTGGTTTCAGAGTTGTCGGTTTAGCCGATGTCTTCTCTGTGGGCTTTACTGTCGTTGCCTCAGTTGGTTTCAGCGTTGTCGGCTTCTCCGATGTCTTCTCTGTGGGCTTCACAGTCGTTGCCTCAGTTGGTTTCAGAGTTGTCGGTTTAGCCGATGTCTTCTCTGTGGGCTTTACTGTCGTTGCCTCAGTTGGTTTCAGAGTTGTCGGCTTCTCCGATGTCTTCTCTGTAGGCTTCACAGTCGTTGCCTTGGTTGGTTTTACCGTTGTCGGCTTTTCCGATGTCTTCTCTGTGGGCTTCCCAGTCGTTGCCTCAGTTGGTTTCAGAGTTGTTGGTTTCTCCGATGTCTTCTCTGTGGGCTTCACAGTCGTTGCCTCAGTTGGTTTCAGAGTTGTCGGCTTAGCCGATGTCTTCTCTGTGGGCTTCACAGTCGTTGCCTCAGTTGGTTTCAGCGTTGTCGGCTTCTCCGATGTCTTCTCTGTAGGCTTCACAGTCGTTGCCTTGGTTGGTTTTACCGTTGTCGGCTTTTCCGATGTCTTCTGTGGGCTTCACAGTCGTTGCCTCAGTTGGTTTCAGCGTTGTCGGCCTTTCCGATGTCTTCTCTGTAGGCTTTACAGTCGTTGCCTTAGTTGGTTTCAGAGTTGTCGGTTTAGCGGATGTCTTCTCTGTGGGCTTCACAGTCGTTGCCTCAGTTGGTTTTGTCGGCTTTTCCGATGTCTTTTCTGTGGGCTTCACAGTCGTTCCCTCAGTTGGTTTCAGAGTTGTCGGCTTCTGCGATGTCTTCTCTGTGGGCTTTACTGTCGTTGCCTCAGTTGGTTTCGGCGTTGTCGGCTTTACCGACGTCTTCTCTGTGGGCTTCACAGTCGTTGCCTCAGTTGGTTTCAGCGTTGTCGGCTTTACCGACGTCATCTCTGTGGGCTTCACAGTCGTTGCCTCAGTAGGTTTCAGAGTTGTCGGTTTAGCCGATGTCTTCTCTGTGGGCTTCACAGTCGTTGCCTCAGTTGGTTTTGTCGGCTTTTCCGATGTCTTCTCTGTGGGCTTCACAGTCGTTCCCTCAGTTGGTTTCAGAGTTGTCGGCTTCTGCGATGTCTTCTCTGTGGGTTTTACTGTCGTTGCCTCAGTTGGTTTCGGCGTTGTCGGCTTTACCGACGTCTTCTCTGTGGGCTTCACAGTCGTTGCCTCAGTTGGTTTCAAAGTTGTCGGCTTCTCCGATGTCTTTTCTGTGGGCTTCACAGTCGTTGCCTCAGTTGGTTTCAGAGTTGTCGGTTTAGCTGTTGTCTTCTCTGTGGGCTTCAAAGTCGTTGCCTCAGTTGGTTTCAGAGTTGTCGGCTTCTCCGATGTCTTCTCTGTGGGCTTTACTGTCGTTGCCTCAGTTGGTTTCGGCGTTGTCGGCTTTACCGATGTCTTTTCTGTGGGCTTCACAGTCGTTGCCTCAGTTGGTTTCAGAGTTGTTGGTTTAGCCGATGTCTTCTCTGTGGGCTTCACAGTCGTTGCCTCAGTTGGTTTCAGAGTTGTTGGTTTCTCCGATGTCTTCTCTGTGGGCTTCACAGTCGTTGCCTCAGTTGGTTTTGTCGGCTTTTCCGATGTCTTCTCTGTGGGCTTCACAGTCGTTCCCTCAGTTGGTTTCAGAGTTTTCGGCTTCTGCGATGTCTTCTCTGTGGGTTTTACTGTCGTTGCCTCAGTTGCTTTCGGCGTTGTCGGCTTTACCGACGTCTTCTCTGTGGGCTTCACAGTCGTTGCCTCAGTTGGTTTCAAAGTTGTCGGCTTCTCCGATGTCTTTTCTGTGGGCTTTACAGTCGTTGCCTCAGTTGGTTTCGGCGTTGTCGGCTTTACCGACGTCTTCTCTGTGGGCTTCACAGTCGTTGCCTCAGTTGGTTTCAGAGTTGTCGGCTTCTCCGATGTCTTCTCTGTGGGCTTCACAGTCGTCGCCTCAGTTGGTTTCAGAGTTGGTGGTTTCTCCGATGTCTTCTCTGTGGGCTTAACAGTCGTCGCCTCAGTTGGTTTCAGAGTTGTTGGTTTCTCCGATGTCTTCTCTGTGGGTTTCACAGTTGTTGCCTCAGTTGGTTTCAGCGTTGTCGGCTTTTGCGATGTCTTCTCTGTGGGCTTCACAGTCGTCGCCTCAGTTGGTTTCTCCGATGTCTTCTCTGTGGGCTTAACAGTCGTCGCCTCAGTTGGTTTCAGAGTTGTCGGCTTCTGCGATGTCTTCTCTGTGGGTTTTACTGTCGTTGCCTCAGTTGGTTTCGGCGTTGTCGGCTTTACCGACGTCTTCTCAGTGGGCTTCACAGTCGTTGCCTCAGTTGGTTTCAGCGTTGTCGGCTTTTCCGATGTCTTCTCTGTGGGCTTCACAGTCGTCGCCTCAGTTGGTTTCAGAGTTGTTGGTTTCGCCGATGTCTTCTCTGTGGGCTTCACAGTCGTCGCCTCAGTTGGTTTCCAGCGTTGTCGGCTTTTCCGATGTCTTCTCTGTGGGCTTCACAGTCGTCGCCTCAGTTGGTTTCAGAGTTGTTGGTTTCTCCGATGTCTTCTCTGTGGGCTTCACAGTTGTTGCCTCAGTTGGTTTCAGCGTTGTCGGCTTTTGCGATGTCTTCTCTGTGGGCTTCACAGTCGTTGCCTCAGTTGGTTTCAGAGTAGTTGGTTTCGCCGATGTCTTTTCTGTGGGCTTCACAGTCGTTGCCTCAGTTGGTTTCAGAGTTGTCGGCTTTTCCGACGTCTTTTCTGTGGGCTTCACAGTCGTTGCCTCTGTTGGTTTCAGAGTTGTTGGTTTCTCCGAGGTCTTCTCTGTGGGCTTCACAGTTGTTGCCTCAGTTGGTTTCAGCGTTGTCGGCTTCTGCGATGTCTTTTCTGTGGGCTTCACAGTCGTTGCCTCAGTTGGTTTCAGAGTTGTCGGCTTCTCCGATGTCTTCTCTGTGGGCTTCACAGTCGTCGCCTCAGTTGGTTTCAGAGTTGCTGGTTTCTCCGATGTCTTCTCTGTAGGCTTCACAGTTGTTGCCTCAGTTGGTTTCAGCGTTGTCGGCTTTTGCGATGTCTTCTCTGTGGGCTTCACAGTCGTTGCCTCAGTTGGTTTCAGAGTTGTTGGTTTCTCCGATGTCTTTTCTGTTGGCTTCACAGTCGTTGCCTCAGTTGGTTTCAGAGTTGTCGGCTTTTCCGACGTCTTTTCTGTGGGCTTCACAGTCGTTGCCTCTGTTGATTTCAGAGTTGTCGGCTTTTCCGACGTCTTCTCTGTGGGCTTCACAGTCGTTGCCTCAGTTGGTTTCAGAGTTGTCGGCTTCTCCGATGTCTTTTCTGTTGGCTTCACAGTCGTTGCCTCAGTTGGTTTCAGAGTTGTTGGTTTCGCCGATGTCTTCTCTGTGGGCTTCACAGTCGTTGCCTCAGTTGGTTTCAAACTTGTCGGCTTCTCCGATGTCTTTTCTGTTGGCTTCACAGTCGTTGCCTCAGTTGGTTTCAAAGTTGTCGGCTTTTCCGATGTCTTCTCTGTGGGCTTCACAGTCGTTGCCTCAGTTGGTTTCAGCGTTGTCGGCTTTTGCGATGTCTTCTCTGTTGGCTTCACAGTCGTTGCCTCAGTTGGTTTCAGCGTTGTCGGCTTTTCCGACGTCTTCTCTGTGGGCTTCACAGTCGTTGCCTCAGTTGGTTTCAAAGTTGTCGGCTTCTCCGATGTCTTTTCTGTTGGCTTCACAGTCGTTGCCTCAGTTGGTTTCAGCGTTGTCGGCTTTTCCGATGTCTTCTCTGTGGGCTTCACAGTCGTCGCCTCAGTTGGTTTCAGCGTTGTCGGCTTTTCCGATGTCTTCTCTGTGGGCTTCACAGTCGTTGCCTCAGTTGGTTTCAGCGTTGTCGGCTTTTTCCGATGTCTTATCTGTGGGCTTCACAGTAGTCGCCTCAGTTGGTTTCAGCGTTGTCGGCTTTTCCGACGTCTTCTCTGTGGGCTTCACAGTCGTTGCCTCAGTTGGTTTCAAAGTTGTCGGCTTCTCCGATGTCTTTTCTGTTGGCTTCACAGTCGTTGCCTCAGTTGGTTTCAGCGTTGTCGGCTTTTCCGATGTCTTCTCTGTGGGCTTCACAGTCGTCGCCTCAGTTGGTTTCAGAGTTGTTGGTTTCTCCGATGTCTTCTCTGTGGGCTTCACAGTCGTCGCCTCAGTTGGTTTCAGCGTTGTCGGCTTTTCCGATGTCTTCTCTGTGGGCTTCACAGTCGTCGCCTCAGTTGGTTTCAGAGTTGTTGGTTTCTCCGATGTCTTCTCTGTGGGCTTCACAGTCGTCGCCTCAGTTGGTTTCAGAGTTGTTGGTTTCTCCGATGTCTTCTCTGTGGGCTTCACAGTCGTCGCCTCAGTTGGTTTCAGCGTTGTCGGCTTTTCCGATGTCTTCTCTGTGGGCTTCACAGTCGTCGCCTCAGTTGGTTTCAGAGTTGTCGGTTTAGCCGATGTCTTCTCTGTAGGCTTCACAGTCGTTGCCTCAGTTGGTTTCAGCGTTGTCGGCTTCTCCGATGTCTTCTCTGTGGGCTTCACAGTCGTCGCCTCAGTTGGTTTCAGAGTTGTTGGTTTCTCCGATGTCTTCTCTGTGGGCTTCACAGTCGTCGCCTCAGTTGGTTTCAGAGTTGTTGGTTTCTCCGATGTCTTCTCTGTAGGCTTCACAGTCGTCGCCTCAGTTGGTTTCAGCGTTGTCGGCTTTTCCGATGTCTTCTCTGTGGGCTTCACAGTCGTCGCCTCAGTTGGTTTCAGCGTTGTCGGCTTTTCCGATGTCTTCTCTGTGGGCTTCACAGTCGTCGCCTCAGTTGGTTTCAGAGTTGTTGGTTTCTCCGATGTCTTTTCTGTGGGCTTCACAGTCGTTGCCTCAGTTGGTTTCAGAGTTGTCGGCTTTTCCGATGTCTTCTCTGTGGGCTTCACAGTCGTCGCCTCAGTTGGTTTCAGAGTTGTTGGTTTCTCCGATGTCTTCTCTGTGGGCTTCACAGTCGTCGCCTCAGTTGGTTTCAGCGTTGTCGGCTTTTGCGATGTCTTTTCTGTGGGCTTCACAGTCGTTGCCTCCAGTTGGTTTCAGAGTTGTTGGTTTCGCCGATGTCTTCTCTGTGGGCTTCACAGTCGTCGCCTCAGTTGGTTTCAGCGTTGTCGGCTTTTCCGATGTCTTCTCTGTGGGCTTCACAGTCGTCGCCTCAGTTGGTTTCAGCGTTGTCGGCTTTTTGACGTCTTCTCTGTGGGCTTCACAGTCGTTGCCTCAGTTGGTTTCAAAGTTGTCGGCTTCTCCGATGTCTTTTCTGTTGGCTTCACAGTCGTTGCCTCAGTTGGTTTCAGCGTTGTCGGCTTTTCCGATGTCTTCTCTGTGGGCTTCACAGTCGTCGCCTCAGTTGGTTTCAGAGTTGTTGGTCTCTCCGATGTCTTTCTCTGTGGGCTTCACAGTCGTCGCCTCAGTTGGTTTCAGCGTTGTCGGCTTTTCCGATGTCTTCTCTGTGGGCTTCACAGTCGTCGCCTCAGTTGGTTTCAGAGTTGTTGGTTTCTCCGATGTCTTCCCTGTGGGCTTCACAGTCGTCGCCTCAGTTGGTTTCAGAGTTGTTGGTTTCTCCGATGTCTTCTCTGTGGGCTTCACAGTTGTCGCCTCAGTTGGTTTCAGCGTTGTCGGCTTTTCCGATGTCTTCTCTGTGGGCTTCACAGTCGTCGCCTCAGTTGGTTTCAGCGTTGTCGGCTTTTCCGATGTCTTCTCTGTGGGCTTCACAGTCGTCGCCTCAGTTGGTTTCAGAGTTGTTGGTTTTTCCGATGTCTTCTCTGTGGGCTTCACAGTCGTCGCCTCAGTTGGTTTCAGCGTTGTCGGCTTTTCCGATGTCTTCTCTGTGGGCTTCACAGTCGTCGCCTCAGTTGGTTTCAGAGTTGTTGGTTTCTCCGAGGTCTTCTCTGTGGGCTTCACAGTTGTTGCCTCAGTTGGTTTCAGCGTTGTCGGCTTTTGCGATGTCTTTTCTGTGGGCTTCACAGTCGTTGCCTCAGTTGGTTTCAGAGTTGTCGGCTTCTCCGATGTCTTCTCTGTGGGCTTCACAGTCGTTGCCTCAGTTGGTTTCAGAGTTGTCGGCTTCTCCGATGTCTTCTCTGTGGGCTTCACAGTCGTCGCCTCAGTTGGTTTCAGAGTTGTTGGTTTCTCCGATGTCTTCTCTGTGGGCTTCACAGTTGTTGACTCAGTTGGTTTCAGCGTTGTCGGCTTTTTGCGATGTCTTCTCTGTGGGCTTCACAGTCGTTGCCTCAGTTGGTTTCAGAGTTGTTGGTTTCGCCGATGTCTTTTCTGTGGGCTTCACAGTCGTTGCCTCAGTTGGTTTCAGAGTTGTCGGCTTTTCCGACGTCTTTTCTGTGGGCTTCACAGTCGTTGCCTCTGTTGGTTTCAGAGTTGTCGGCTTCTCCGATGTCTTCTCTGTTGGCTTCACAGTCGTTGCCTCAGTTGGTTTCAGCGTTGTCGGCTTTTGCGATGTCTTCTCTGTTGGCTTCACAGTCGTTGCCTCAGTTGGTTTCAGCGTTGTCGGCTTTTCCGACGTCTTCTCTGTGGGCTTCACAGTCGTTGCCTCAGTTGGTTTCAAAGTTGTCGGCTTCTCCGATGTCTTTTCTGTTGGCTTCACAGTCGTTGCCTCAGTTGGTTTCAGCGTTGTCGGCTTTTCCGATGTCTTCTCTGTGGGCTTCACAGTCGTCGCCTCAGTTGGTTTCAGAGTTGTTGGTTTCGCCGATGTCTTCTCTGTGGGCTTCACAGTCGTCGCCTCAGTTGGTTTCAGCGTTGTCGGCTTTTCCGATGTCTTCTCTGTGGGCTTCACAGTCGTCGCCTCAGTTGGTTTCAGAGTTGTTGGTTTCTCCGATGTCTTCTCTGTGGGCTTCACAGTCGTCGCCTCAGTTGGTTTCAGCGTTGTCGGCTTTTCCGATGTCTTCTCTGTGGGCTTCACAGTCGTCGCCTCAGTTGGTTTCAGCGTTGTCGGCTTTTCCGATGTCTTCTCTGTGGGCTTCACAGTCGTCGCCTCAGTTGGTTTCAGAGTTGTTGGTTTCTCCGATGTCTTCTCTGTGGGCTTCACAGTCGTCGCCTCAGTTGGTTTCAGCGTTGTCGGCTTTTCCGATGTCTTCTCTGTGGGCTTCACAGTCGTCGCCTCAGTTGGTTTCAGAGTTGTTGGTTTCTCCGATGTCTTCTCTGTGGGCTTCACAGTCGTCGCCTCAGTTGGTTTTAGCGTTGTCGGCTTTTGCGATGTCTTTTCTGTGGGCTTCACAGTCGTTGCCTCAGTTGGTTTCAGAGTTGTTGGTTTCGTCGATGTCTTCTCTGTGGGCTTCACAGTCGTCGCCTCAGTTGGTTTCAGCGTTGTCGGCTTTTCCGATGTCTTCTCTGTGGGCTTCACAGTCGTCGCCTCAGTTGGTTTCAGCGTTGTCGGCTTTTGCGATGTCTTTTCTGTTGGCTTCACAGTCGTTGCCTCAGTTGGTTTCAGCGTTGTCGGCTTTTCCGACGTCTTCTCTGTGGGCTTCACAGTCGTTGCCTCAGTTGGTTTCAAAGTTGTCGGCTTCTCCGATGTCTTTTCTGTTGGCTTCACAGTCGTTGCCTCAGTTGGTTTCAGCGTTGTCGGCTTTTCCGATGTCTTCTCTGTGGGCTTCACAGTCGTCGCCTCAGTTGGTTTCAGAGTTGTTGGTTTCTCCGATGTCTTCTCTGTGGGCTTCACAGTCGTCGCCTCAGTTGGTTTCAGCGTTGTCGGCTTTTCCGATGTCTTCTCTGTGGGCTTCACAGTCGTCGCCTCAGTTGGTTTCAGAGTTGTTGGTTTCTCCGATGTCTTCTCTGTGGGCTTCACAGTCGTCGCCACAGTTGGTTTCAGAGTTGTTGGTTTCTCCGACGTCTTCTCTGTGGGCTTCACAGTCGTTGCCTCAGTTGGTTTCAAAGTTGTCGGCTTCTCCGATGTCTTTTCTGTTGGCTTCACAGTCGTTGCCTCAGTTGGTTTCAGCGTTGTCGGCTTTTCCGATGTCTTCTCTGTGGGCTTCACAGTCGTCGCCTCAGTTGGTTTCAGAGTTGTTGGTTTCTCCGATGTCTTCTCTTTGGGCTTCACAGTCGTCGCCTCAGTTGGTTTCAGCGTTGTCGGCTTTTCCGATGTCTTTTCTGTGGGCTTCACAGTCGTTGCCTCAGTTGGTTTCAGAGTTGTTGGTTTCTCCGATGTCTTCTCTGTGGGCTTCACAGTCGTCGCCTCAGTTGGTTTCAGAGTTGTTGGTTTCTCCGATGTCTTCTCTGTGGGCTTCACAGTCGTCGCCTCAGTTGGTTTCAGCGTTGTCGGCTTTTCCGATGTCTTCTCTGTGGGCTTCACAGTCGTCGCCTCAGTTGGTTTCAGCGTTGTCGGCTTTTCCGATGTCTTCTCTGTGGGCTTCACAGTCGTCGCCTCAGTTGGTTTCAGCGTTGTCGGCTTTTCCGATGTCTTCTCTGTGGGCTTCACAGTCGTCGCCTCAGTTGGTTTCAGCGTTGTCGGCTTTTCCGATGTCTTCTCTGTGGGCTTCACAGTTGTTGACTCAGTTGGTTTCAGCGTTGTCGGCTTTTGCGATGTCTTCTCTGTGGGCTTCACAGTCGTCGCCTCAGTTGGTTTCAGAGTTGTTGGTTTCTCCGATGTCTTCTCTGTGGGCTTCACAGTCGTCGCCTCAGTTGGTTTCAGCGTTGTCGGCTTTTCCGATGTCTTTTCTGTGGGCTTCACAGTCGTTGCCTCAGTTGGTTTCAGAGTTGTTGGTTTCTCCGATGTCTTCTCTGTGGGCTTCACAGTCGTCGCCTCAGTTGGTTTCAGAGTTGTTGGTTTCTCCGATGTCTTCTCTGTGGGCTTCACAGTCGTCGCCTCAGTTGGTTTCAGAGTTGTTGGTTTCTCCGATGTCTTCTCTGTGGGCTTCACAGTCGTCGCCTCAGTTGGTTTCAGCGTTGTCGGCTTTTCCGATGTCTTCTCTGTGGGCTTCACAGTCGTCGCCTCAGTTGGTTTCAGCGTTGTCGGCTTTTCCGATGTCTTCTCTGTGGGCTTCACAGTCGTCGTCTCAGTTGGTTTCAGCGTTGTCGGCTTTTCCGATGTCTTCTCTGTGGGCTTCACAGTTGTTGACTCAGTTGGTTTCAGCGTTGTCGGCTTTTGCGATGTCTTCTCTGTGGGCTTCACAGTCGTTGCCTCAGTTGGTTTCAGAGTTGTTGGTTTCGCCGATGTCTTTTCTGTGGGCTTCACAGTCGTTGCCTCAGTTGGTTTCAGCGTTGTCGGCTTTTCCGACGTCTTCTCTGTGGGCTTCACAGTCGTTGCCTCAGTTGGTTTCAGAGTTGTCGGCTTCTCCGATGTCTTTTCTGTTGGCTTCACAGTCGTTGCCTCAGTTGGTTTCAGAGTTGTTGGTTTCGCCGATGTCTTCTCTGTGGGCTTCACAGTCGTTGCCTCAGTTGGTTTCAGAGTTGTCGGCTTAACCGATGTCTTCTCTGTGGGCTTCACAGTCGTTGCCTCAGTTGGTTTCAGAGTTGTTGGTTTCTCCGATGTCTTTTCTGTTGGCTTCACAGTCGTTGCCTCAGTTGGTTTCAAAGTTGTCGGCTTTTCCGATGTCTTCTCTGTGGGCTTCACAGTCGTCGCCTCAGTTGGTTTCAGAGTTGTCGGCTTCTCCGATGTCTTTTCTGTTGGCTTCACAGTCGTTGCCTCAGTTGGTTTCAGAGTTGTCGGCTTTTCCGATGTCTTTTCTGCGGGCTTCACAGTCGTCGCCTCAGTTGGTTTCAGAGTTGTTGGTTTCTCCGATGTCTTCTCTGTGGGCTTCACAGTCGTCGCCTCAGTTGGTTTCAGCGTTGTCGGCTTTTGCGATGTCTTTTCTGTGGGCTTCACAGTCGTTGCCTCAGTTGGTTTCAGAGTTGTTGGTTTCGCCGATGTCTTCTCTGTGGGCTTCACAGTTGTTGCCTCAGTTGGTTTCAGCGTTGTCGGCTTTTGCGATGTCTTCCCTGTGGGCTTCACAGTCGTTGCCTCAGTTGGTTTCAGCGTTGTCGGCTTTTGCGATGTCTTCTCTGTTGGCTTCACAGTCGTTGCCTCAGTTGGTTTCAGCGTTGTCGGCTTTTCCGATGTCTTCTCTGTGGGCTTCACAGTCGTTGCCTCAGTTGGTTTCAAAGTTGTCGGCTTCTCCGATGTCTTTTCTGTTGGCTTCACAGTCGTTGCCTCAGTTGGTTTCAGCGTTGTCGGCTTTTCCGATGTCTTCTCTGTGGGCTTCACAGTCGTCGCCTCAGTTGGTTTCAGCGTTGTCGGCTTTTCCGATGTCTTCTCTGTGGGCTTCACAGTCGTTGCCTCAGTTGGTTTCAGCGTTGTCGGCTTTTCCGATGTCTTATCTGTGGGCTTCACAGTCGTTGCCTCAGTTGGTTTTAGCGTTGTCGGCTTTTCCGATGTTTTCTCTGTGGGCTTCACAGTCGTTGCCTCAGTTGGTTTTAGAGTTGTTGGTCTCAATGTTGTCGTCTGAGTTGTTTTAAAAGTTGTTCCTATAGTGGTCTGCAACGTTGGCCTTAGAGTAGTTGCCCTACTCGAACTCGTGGTCTCTCCTCCACAATTGTGTGGAGTTGTTGTGGCATGTGGGCATGGCGGCTTTGTTGGAGCCGGACTAGTAATGCGGTGCTCACAGGCTGGCGTTGTGGGATGATCGGGACATGGAGGCGGTGGCGGTTTTAAGGTTGTTGTGCTGGTTTTATTATTGCACGGATTGCGAAAGTGGAGGACAATCTCGTTAGGTTTTTGGCCCGGGACGATGCGGATGTGCGGGCCGAACATGGTGAACGCAGCCGTGGTTGCCACCAGTAGGCAGATTACGAACAGTTGCATCTTGTCAACTAGGTGCTGCCTCGTTTTCCTTGGTTTGTGTCCTTGTTGGGCGGGTCAGAGTGCTGTGTACACCCGAGCGACACCCTCGGTACTGAGCTTGCCAGCCCACCCAAGGGCATATTTAAGCCGTAAATGCGGGGGCGGAATCAGGTCCCTAGTCTGTGCAAGAATTTGAATTCCGTACAGCGACCGAAAGCTCGATCGTTCCGGCAGCGGTAACGGATGCACAGCTCTTCCTCTTGGCACGCACCTGTTCCACGGGCTTGCATAAGCCGTAGATTATCGAAGCTAAGCGTCGCAGCTGGAGCCCAGAGGGCGCACGTTTCCCCAAACCAATTTCATTCATTGACCAGCCAAGAGAGTTTTTTTAAAACGTTCTGCAATTTCAACGATTTTTATTACGCTTCACTTTTGGAAGGGGGAGGTCGGTCTCATTTGAATGGGGCTTTTGGCTATACTCGTAGTAATAACTTTAATATTAATTTGTGCTGAGTTCTTTGGCTAATCTCAAAATATCTTAATAGGCATCTCTTTCTATTTGGTGTCTGAGTGTATGTGTGTTTTATATCTCTGTCTTTCTTTTGGCTTCTACCTCTACTATTTTTTTGGTATAAACTTGGCTAGTTCGAATTGGTATAATGTAAGTTTTCGTTTTTTTTTTTTTTTTAATTTATATTTTTTTTGCATTTGACATTCCTAAATATTCGTTAGCTACTTAATTGTTTTTTTTTTTATTATTTGGCCACTTACGAATTTCAATGCTTCATTTTTCGTGTTTTTTTTTTTTTTTTATTTGTTTTGGTTTTATTTTGATGGTGAGGCAGCGCGCTTATAAATTTGCACTATACGTAAGACATATGCAATCCATATGCGATGTACTCATTATACATATATATAATATATATTTCTTTATATATTTAAGCTATAACAAAGTTACCGACTGACTGATCATATTTACCATCTAGCACGCAAACAACAACAAAACGTAAAACTAATGGTTGCCCTTAACTTTTTCTTTCATTTTTACTATAACTATAGCTATATATCTTTATATATATATATAGATATATATATATAAGTATATATATGTATATATATATATATATATATATATATTTATATACTCGTTAAGAATTGTTAACCGTTAAGTTTGAGGCCAATACATTTACACTTATTAGGCATATACAAAAAAGTTCTAGGCCACTAGTTGATGATAATGTTTAATAGGCTCCACCACCTCTACGAAATTTCCGGCTTACGTTTTTGGGGCATCTACGTCGAGCTTTGGGCCATTGCTAGATCTCGTCATCGCTGGTCTGTGGACAAAGGACCTGTTCCTGCCACCAGTCATGTACTTCGTAGACGGCATTTGCCTGATTATTGAACGGCAGCAATTTCCCACTACCTCCAATCATTTGGCTCATCATGGCCGACGGACTGCCCAGGGCGCCGGCATGATGATGATGCTGCTGGTGTTCTCCATGCCCGTGGCCATGCCCATGACCGTGACCATGTCCATGTCCATAGCCATGCAAGGCAGCTGCGGCGGCTGAAGCGTTTATTGTCGGATAATGGAACTGGCCAACCTCACTGTTAAGCTGGGCAAAGAAACTGGAGGATTTGCTGGCCTCGCCACCACCACGTTGCTTGGCCAACTGTCCCAGTTGACCGGCATGTGGCAGTGTGGTCATCGAGTTCTTCTTCCGCTGCTGACTGCTGATGTGCAATCGCTCCTTATCGCTCAACGTCGAACGCTGCTGAGGGTCACTGGACGTGGGCGCCAGGAATTTCCGTCCAGCCGAACTACCCGTTGAATCCGATCGATTGAGGGCATAACCTCGCTTGCCCACCGCCATCACATGGCGTGCGGTGGATTGGACTGGTGGTGGCCCTGTTCCCAAACCCGTTACAGCCGCTGAACTTCCTGTTCCCGTAATAGATGGCTCTGAGTGAGGCAAAGGCACCACTGCACTGCTGCTGCCGTCCTTCTCCTCGTTCTCCGTTGAACTGAAGGTCGGCGAGAAGGCATCACTGGTGGGCGGACAGGCACCGGCAACTGCCCCACTAATCGTACTGATCGCCGACTTGTCAGCCGCACCTAATGGTGCCTTGTCTTCCTGAACATTGGGTCGCATCACCGGTTGCTCGTTTGTGGCACGAAGGCCGGCGATCAGCGAGTTTTGTTGCTTCTGCAATGGATTAGTTATTGGAGCTGTGATTTATCAATCAACTACTTCAAATACTGCAAGCTTACACTAGCATTTTGTGCCCGAATCTTTTTAAGGCACCCCTCCAGCCAGGTGCGAATAGTCATCTTGGCCACCTCCTCCTCAACCAGGTACTCGAACTCCTCGCGTGCCAACAGCTCCTCCAGCTGCAGCGCCTTCCGTATGTCCACGGAACGATAGCTCAGCATGCTGAAATGGATAGTAAAAGTTATTAGGACTAAAATCAATCTATGGATCACGGATCACCCACTTGATGACATCGTGGAATGTCACATCCTCGCCATTGTGCAGCTTGTCCAGCTCATAGCACATGTACTTGAATAGAAGGCGATCCTTTTGTGGATCGCACTCGAGTCGTCCTTTTAGCAGACGCAGAATAAATTTCACTCGACGGACTGGAATCACTCCTCGCTGATGGATATCCACAATGTTCCAAGTGTTCTGGAAGTTACGTATATCCGCATACGAAAGCAGGGCATCCTCTTCGTTGGAGTAGAAGAGGGAAAAGTTCTCCATGATAATAGCTGCAGAAGGGGTGAAATTGATTTGATATTATTAAATGCCTTCATATATAGTTTATATAATCTATAGATTAACAATATATATGTATATATACAACTTCAGCAACCTTATTAATCCGTCAAAGACCTACCCACAAGTAAGTTGAGCACAATATATGTGATTATCACGTAGAAGGTGCAGAAATAGATGAGGCTGGCGGTGAAGTTGCCGCAGTCCGTTTCCCAGTAGTTGTTCCCGAGGGTGCAGTAAGGCGGCTGGACCATACAGTCGTGCATGATCTTATTCCAATCCTCGCCGGTAACGATCCGAAAGAGCATAGCCACTCCGGTGACGGGTGAACCGAAATTGGCCCGGCGACCGATGCCCTCGCCATATTTGACGGTGCCTGAAACGAGAATCAGCCGGGTGGAGAAGTCAGTAGGGATCAGGGGGACCCATATGGCTGGCTCTGGCTTGTTTTTTTTTTTTTTTTTTTTTGTTTGGACACCCAGCTCACCGAAGAGAATCGTCCCGGCCAGCGCATAGAAGAAGACTAGCAGAAACATGCCAAAGATAATGAAGAAGGACTTGCATACAGACACGCCCACGGTCAACATGAGCATCTTCAGTGTGGTGTGCTTGCCGGTGATGGTGAAGAAGCGCAGGATGACCACCATGAAGCCGAAGAAGTAGGACAGATCATTCTGTCATTAGAGATTAGAGGTCAGAGGTCAGAGGTCAGTGTTCAACTTGGGTACTTGGGTATGGGATTCTAGGTTCTGAGTACAGGATACTTGGTGAGTGACAACAACAGCAGTGACAAACTTACCCGCAGAATGGTCTGCAATATTATCCAAATGACACCGGCAACGGTGACGAGAAGGTCATAGCGATTGCGCCTAGATTGCCAATAGCCGCGCGGTGTAAAGGCAATGTTCTTCATCACCACCTCAACCACAAAGACAAAGGTCAATACCGCACTGACGATCACCAGGCGTTCCGTATGCACCTCTCCCTTGATCCACTGCATTAGACAATTGAGACGAGACAAGAGACTATCACGATAGAGTATACTCTATACCGCACCAAAATCTAATCTCTAAGCTCTAAACTACGCAGTCACATTACAACATTTTCATTTCATAACTCCGTACATTCATACATTCTTGCTATGTTTTTCAATTTTTCTCTTTGTATTTTTTGTTGTTAAGCTAAAATGGGTCATTATCCACCTTTGTATATATATTTCTATAAATTTCTATAAATTTCTATATGCATATTTTTACAAACGTGCTTGCATGCAGTTATAATGACTTTGGTTTTAAGTTAGTTATTTAGCAAAGTCAAAGGTTTACTTTTGGCGGTTGACTTGTTATTAAAAAATTACATTAAATTTAACCCGTTTCTTGTAAAATTCTAAATGATTTTTAAGTTATATGATTAAAATTACGCCAGACTAACATTTTACTAAGAGATCTTTGCTTTAAGATATCTATCCAATGTATATCAAAGTCAAGTCAAGTTTGGCTTAATCTAATATATGAATATCTAATATATAAAAAGTTGTTAGATAATACTAAAAACTTAAAAAGTTATGTATCTTAGTTCATCAAAAAAAAAAGGTTGAAATACTTTGAAGACTATTTGTCCCTTTTACTTTGCTTTCTAAGTGTCATGCGATATTTTTGCTAACCCATCTTTTATCTATCCTTGTATTTCATGCGATATATATAGCTTACTATATAAATATGTACTATATCATGTCATATATCATATTATATGTTTCGCTATATTTCTCCATGAAAATGTTGATTATAAGCAATCTGAATCTAAACCCTTATAAAGGTAACCGTGATACTTTTTAGTTGCATGCAATTTACTTCGTGCTTCGTTTAACCCCTGAAAGGCCCCCAGTACAAACCGTGATGGAGAGCAGCATACTGTTGATAAGAACCACCACTGCGATGACCCTCTTGAAGATGATGTGCTGGGTGATGTCGTAGGTGAAGGCCCGAATCTTTCGACCATCAGGTCTGGGTGGCAGATGTAGTGGCTGGGCGATCTTCAGTCGCTTTTTAAGATCACACCAACGCCTCTGGTCAACGGTCAACAGAGCTGTGCCCTTGTTTTCCGAATAATTGGCAATGACCACGCCCACGAACAACGTCAAACCGATCATGCAGCCCAAGAAAATGTAGATGTGGATATAGACGGCATGGACCTGCAAGGAAAAAGGTATTAGATCAAAGATCAAAGATCAAAGATTAAAGGTTCTTTAAAATATAAGAAAACCCTTGAAAACCATTAACTTACCGGACCCACAGCCTTGATCAAGACATCACGCACATCCAACCAGCCCTTAAAGGACAAGACCTCAAAAAGTGTCAGCATGGCATCTCCAATGTTATCGAAATTAAACCGCCTCGGATTGGCCCACACACGTGGCACCAGCATTGCCGGATAGGACTCATCCGGACCCGGAGTCAACTTCATTTTCGTAACAAAAACACGTCGCATAAACACACCAACACAATCCTCGCGTCTCGAGATTGTCGGATCATTGCATCGGGCCAAACGGCCACCATACAATTGGACACCATAGCTGGCGAAGATGAACATCAGGAGGATGAGCAATGTGGATACGAGCAGGATCTCCTTGAAGCCACGGCACAATTCGTAGACCACCTTTCTCATATGCGGCACCAATGTGAAGATTCGCAAAGGTCGCACGCAACGCAGGATCATCAGGAGCTGGGCCGCCGAGTTGGTTGGTATATTCAGGGGCATCCAGCACAAGAATGAGGTGGACACCACATAGATGAATACATCCAGGGCGGCGGCCACGTCCTTGATATAAGCCTTCGGCGTAAAGAATAGGCCATCGGCCAAAATCTTCAATGCCAGCTCAAGGCTCATGAAAATAACGAACCCGTACTCGGCGATCTGCAGCGTCGGATGATCCATCACCCGGTAATTGGGTGTCTCGAACATCATCGAGATGCATGAGAGCGTGGTAGCGAATATCATAACCCAATCCAGATACGTGACTAGTCCAAGGAAGTTACTGTAATGGATTTGAATGGGATTTTTTCGATTAATCTCAGATAAAATATAAATTTATAGTAAATTCAGATAAACTAGATTGATGGATTGATAAGTTGTATAGCCCTTCAGAGAGGGATACTCCCTTTTATAGCGGCGACTCCACTTACTGCAGACTTTTGTACTGGACCTTGCGTTCCTTGCCAGTCAGCGGATCCTTGAGACGGGCATCATAGCGTGCATGAACAATCTTCTGGCAAATCTTCCTGAAGCGACTCTCGCGCGGCACCAGAAACAGTGGTGTATCGAAGAACGGATGATTTTCACGCAAATCTTCCTCCCGCTGATTGCGTCGCATTTCCGCCTGCTGACGCTTGGCCTGCAGCAACTTGATATCCAAATCGTGTGGTCTTGCCCGTCCAGAATTAGCTCGCGGAGCAGCGGCAATGTCACCATTCTCCATCAGATGCTCGTACGTCTGCTTCAGCTTGATGGAACCGGAACGCACGCTGCGACGAATGGAGCGGGAGCCAAACCTGCGGATTGGTAGTGGACACACATCAAACGGGTCGCGCCGCCTCGGTGGGGCAGGGCCCAGCTACTCACTTCTTTTGGTCAACGCGCCACGGTTTCGAATGGGTAATAGTACCCTGGGACTTCAATCCACCGCCGCCTTTTGTCCCAACCACGGGCAACATGGCCGAGTCGCCCAGCATCAGTCGCTGGTTGTTGCTGTCACTGTGGAATTAACCGAGATAAAGGTATTAATTAAGAGTAATTTGAGCTATTAAAGGGCTAATTACAGCGCATACTCACTTGATGATATGCGTGATGGCCAATTTGCGGAGACTACTGCCCGCGGCCCTTACTTTGGCCGTCTTATTCATAATCCGCACGGGTTTCTGCTTGCGAAAGACCACATTGGACTCCCAGCACTCGGACATCGGCCGCTTGCAGTTCTCGACCAGCGAGTCCTCCGTTTCCAGCTCGATGACAAAGTGTTTCATGAAGCTTTCACGCACCTTGGGCAGCATAAAATCATTGGGAATGCGATGCAATATGGTCATCTGTGGCGAATCGGGAAACTTTTCAAAGATGCGCAACCGGAAGGGCAGTGTCTCCTTGATCTCGGCACTCTGTTCGCGGAACTTCAGCTGCTTGAGCTTTTTAATGTCCTCGTCTAGTTCCAAATTATCCAAGATCACCGCCACGAAAAGACTGAGCACGATGAGTGTGACGAACAGATGGTAGAGGATAAAATATACAGCCACCAGTGGTGTTAGGGTCTTGCTGGTCCGGATCATTGTCTCGTCCATAACTTCTACCCACGCCTCCTGCGTGAGAATCTGGAACATGCTCATGAAGGCCTCCGGGAAGGACTCGAACTTGGTAAAGTCACAGAGGAAACAAAACAATTGCATCGAGATGCTCGAGCTGATGATCAGCAGGCACATGGTGAAGATAATCAGTGATCCGAGTTTCTTTCCCGGTCCGAAGATCTTGTAGACGAATCCCTCCAGCATCGGTGAGGCCTTTATAAGTCGCACTACTCGTAGCACCTGGAAATAGGTTAGGCCCGACGGATAGAACATCGGTACGATATGCAGGGTGGTCCCAGCCGCCAAGAGCAGTTCGAATTTGTGAATGGAGTGCTTGTAATAACCCCGCCAGCCCAGGCAGTAGATCTTGAAGAGTGTCTCCAGATCAAGTAGGCAGGTGAAGACCAGCTCGATGTAGTAATACCTTTCGTAGAACACGTCCCTTGGTCGTCCATCGTGCTTAAAGGTCATGGTGGCCGTGACAATGCCATTGGCCAAAATAACACTCATCACGAGCATCCGAAAATATGGTGATCGCAGTATTGCATGACACGTTTCCGGTGCCAGACCGCCGTGCTTGTTATCATCGATGGTCACCAATCTCCAGCCGGAATCATTGCCACTAAGGATCTGCGAGGCGGCTGTCTTTTGGATATGCCCACGGGCACCCCACATCTGTTGGAACTGCACACGAATCTCGTTGAAGGTCTCCGTGATCACAGCAATGAACACATTCTTCACCAGCCATGCCAAGAAGAAGATCATGGTACTAAAGTAGAAGGCTGCTCGCCATGCTGGAAGCGAATCGATTGCCCGGTACATGATGAATACCCAACCTTCTTGTGAGGCTGCTTGGTATACAGTAAAAATGCTCGTTGCAATGTCCTCGAATCCATTAAAACCGATCACATAGCTGCTAAGGAAATCCATTTTCATGCACACCATACCCGGCGAACACTGATAGCCGGAGTCGGGATCCATTGAACAGAAAGTATCGGGAATGGCCAGTGAATTGATCGTGAGAACTCTAGAAAGGACAGATCATTAATAAGGTATTTAATATTGGTATAGGTTTACTCACGGTCTTCTATATAGATCGTATTCCGTATTATTCATTACACAGTGATTTTTTAGTTCGCCAAAGAACTGAACACCGAGTAAGCCATACAAGGACATGAAAAACAGGAAGAACAATGTCACATTGTAGATTTGCTGGCTCGAACGTCTGTAAGGGGAAAATTTATTAATCAAATAAATCAAAACATTAACTTTAGATACTCACTTGAAGATCTGGTTGATACGACTCTTTGGCATACTAAATTTAAGGAAGACGCGTAGGAAGCGTATCATGATCAATGGTCTAGGGGCTCTCATAATGGACAAATAAGAAAATCTAAAATGAAAGTAAGTCGATTAATAAACTGATTTTGTACTTATTTTCCGAATATACCCACTTTGGAACTATCTCGAGCACCTCGAAGATCTGTAGAATTATCGAGATCCACAAGAAGCTAACCATGGAAGCATCAAACTGGCACCAATGATCTTTCAGATAAGGCACCTCTCCCTGCAAACGAGTAATCAAAAAGTTCACATATCTGGTTTTTCCCTTAGTGCATCGCTATACTCACATGCAGTACACCCCGGATATGCATCTTGGCGATCATCTCGGCGGTGAAGAGTAACGTTACAGCCGTGTCCGAGGCAAAGGTGATGAACTGCAATGATGGATACCGCTCGAAGGTCTTGGGCGTGTTTAGCGATACGGAGGTTAACGAGACAAGGGCACAGAGACGCATTAGGCGGCGTACCCACAGCTTATTAACCCACTCGATGTCGGCGCTTTCGTTGAGTGATTCCTCTGGTCCATAGTCCGCCAAGAAGGGTTCGCCGCCCTTGAGACTCTGCTTCCGGCCAAGCATTATCTTATTGCCAATTCCAGTTGCAATGCCCAGTCCAATGGGCGGTACTCCAGTGATGGCGGCACTGCCCACTGTGCTGCTAATGCCACCACATATGCCCATTCCAGCGGCAGCTGCTCCGCCGCCCATTCCGGCCATGCCACCCATACCGCCCAGTCCTCCAAGCAGATTGAGACCACCTCCGCCACCAACCGCAGATCCCAATCCGGCTCCATTATTATGGCCACCGCCAGTGGATGGAGCCGCCGTCGTGGACGAGCCACCACCTCCTCCGCCGGCCAAGGACTGCTGCTGTTGCTGTTGCGGCTGCATTCCGAAGGCGACGCTGCTGCCGCCGCCGCTGCCGCTTCCGGAGTTCACAATGGTCGTCGGACTGTTGAGCGCACTGGCCGCATCCTGGCGAGCGCCCAGTCCCAGTCCGTTGCCAGGACTGCTACCCGGCGATGGATTAAAGCTGAACTGGCTGGCGGACGCCGGTTGCGAGTGGCGCAGGTGTGGATGCGGATGGGTATGGCCGTGCGGATGCGGATGGTGGTGGGAATGCGGTGGATGGTGGTGCGTATGAGGATGCTGTTGATGGTGATTGTAGTGGTGCCCGTGGTGGGGCTGGTGGTGCTGATGCTGTTGCTGCTGCTGCGGCGTCAAGCTGTTGCCGCTGGAGGAACTGGTGCTGGCCGTCGCCGGCGTGTTGATGCCGCTAGTGGAATACGGATGCGAATGATGGTGGTGGTGACCACCACTAACGCTAGTGCCGCTTGGTCCGCTAACAGGGGCCGCTCCAGCGATCGTTAACGATCCTGTAGCCGCTCCCGATCCCAAGACCGTTCCAGCCGCTCCCGGTACCGCCCCTGCTCCTCCTGATACTGCTCCTCCACCACCTACACCTCCTACTCCTACTCCACCGCCTCCTGCACGTTTGTTTCTAGCAGCTGCACCCAAGCGACGAATCTGAAGACGGTCAATCATTCAAGCGGCGCATCCTGACCCCGGAACGGTCGGTAGTTTATGTTTCCTGCAATGGAAGAGTGCATATTAAGATTAGTCTTAAATATTTTTGGAGCAGCAAAACTTAAACTACTTAATTGCTACTTCTATTGCTGATTTCCAGAGCGTTTTACTGGAATAGCTCACTCTCTCACTCTCTCTCTGGAATTTGGGCTCTCTCAATAGATCTCATTTCTCTTATCTCTTAAGATTCGTGAAAACATAACTGTTAATATTCCCAAAACAGGTAAGTTATTCGAATCACTTAAAATTTCCCTTTTCTGTTATTTCTTTCTCTTTTCCTAAAGACAATTAATTGTCCAATAAAAAAGTTTCTAAAAGACTTACTTTTATAACTAAGAATTATTATTATTATTTATAAGTTTTATAAGTAAAAACTTCAGTTAATTAGAAATCCAATAAAAAAATATATGTAGTACATTTGATACTCAAACATCTGCCCATTATAACTGATTGATTAATTTACACTCCTATATTCCAGGGATCACCTCATCCGACCGAGGCGGCAATTAGAGCGAAGACCTGTGTCAATATTTACATTCGAACAGCTGCCAAGGTGGGCTGAAGGTGTGCACCACTCAAACTCATTCACACATTCACTAAGTGCACTGTGAGAAAGAGTAGATAGATTAAAAATATAAAACATAATTTTAAATAAAGCTATTTAAGCATGGTCTTAGTTTAAATCTTAGTTGTTCCTTTCACTATATAACATTTTACAAGATTCTTTTATAAGTCATTAATTATGATTTAATCTACATAAGGATAAGTCTTAGTAATTATTCAGGATTTTAAGGTATAGTCTCAGTTTGTTTTCAAACTGAATTATCAACTTGATTTATTTGAAATTACTGAATCAAAAATCTTAAATAAGTATATTAATTTATTCCTCTGTGGATCAAAGACTGTCAAGAAGGCGGATGGCACTTGCAACCCCCGAATGAGCAACCACTTCACGCCGTATATGCGTACGTATATACGGACTATACATGACAGGCCCCATACATCCCATCCCCGGATTCGCAAATCCATTGTCATTACCAAAGAGTAGTAACCCCAAAAATGCCTTCACATCAATCCCAATTTCTTGACCAATTCCAAATAGCATTACATTGGGATTCATGTGTAGGCATTTTTCCTTTCTGTTGGCTTTGTCTTACTTCATTGTCATCTACACTCACTTTTCGCCTGATGATGCGGAGGAAAGTTTGGCGAAATTCGCGCGATTTCTATCACAGAAGTCACATCTATGGATTAGGGCAATATTCGACGATTGATAAAAACAGTGAAGCACTAATATATAATATCCTGGAGCCGTAATATCTGGTTTTCAGCTTAGAAGAAAACCTTTTTCTTTTTTATACCAAACACGCGCCGAGGTTTTCTTTTTCTTTTGTTATTTTTTTGTAACTTCTTGGTCGGACGCGGAATCTGGGAGTTACGGCCACTCAGTCTCTTAGTCAGGCAGTGCTCCAGTCAGCCAACTGAAGTGACAGTTCCTTTGGGCCGTCATGTCTCGGCCATGCCAACCCCCAAAAAGGACGACGCCTGCGCACTTTTCCGGGTCGATTGGGGGGCCACTAATCGGAGTGGCAACTCCGCTGGAGTGGCCAACAACAGAGCCCCAAATTCCAAGAAATCCGTGTAGCAAACGCATCGAAATGGGTGCCACGGCCTCCTGCAAGAAAACCTCTGGGTATCCGGAGCACGATGATCCCAGCTACCGTAAGTGCCAGGAGCTCAAGGTGAGTCCTTTTGTCCCGGTTTATATAATCCTCACACCACTAACTGACTGTAGCTTAGATGGAGCGATGGATTCAGATGCATTATCAGATTAAGCAGCGCGAACAGGCTTTGGCCATTGCCCAGCACCGAGAGCTCTTCTACTGGTTGAGTGGTTTCTATCTAAGTGCCGTCTATGGCTGCGCCAGTTACTACCAAAGGGTTAAGAGGGTATCCGCGCTGGCTCCGCTCCTGCCGCTCACCTTTGTGGTGGGATACTACACGGACTGGGCCTACGGCAGTAAGCTCCATCGCATCCAAGGTAAGTCTGGGAATTGAGATCCTTTTCCAATTAAACTGAAATTGATGTTAAATCCATAACAGCGGAGGCCAACATGATCATGGAGCACGAACAGGAGCTGCTCCATTGGCCAGGCGGTCTGCCCACAGTCGCTGGCATCGATGAGGCTCGCGTGGAGACCGAAATGGAGAAAAAAATGCATCCGCACCACATGTAGAGGCAAAAGGCTGCCCCTGTCCCCTGTAGTCTGTAGGCGGGATTGGGTTCTAGTGTCCAGGCTTCCATATGAACATCGCAAATCAATATAGGATTCAGATACAAGAAAACAGAAGGAAATCAGGAAAATCAGTTTCAGAAGTTTGTGAATCCCTTTAGCTAGAATTGTAAATTTTTTGCATCAACATTGGGAACGCTGAACGTGGGGACCATTAAATAACATTTTATAACATTCATTAGCATCAATCACTCTAAACCTGCACTTCAAAGTATTCAAAATAATTGAAAACCAAAAGAAGGTTTGAAGATTTCTAAAAATGAATATAGTTCTTAGAAAGATCTTCTACTTGCTATTATAAATCACAATTCCAGCTAAAGTTAACAGCACTTAATAACAATTATTAATTCAATGAAGCTGCCAGAAGACATTTTCTTTAAAACTTATTTTAACTTAAAAAAAGCAATAGAAATATCTATGATTACCCTGAATGCACTATCATATCATAATGTTCCTAAGGAGCGATACATTCACCATGTTTAACATTGAATCCTTATCCTGCACAGAACCCTAACCAATCTACAGCGCCAGATAGCTCAAATATAGGCATATATATATTTATATTATATATACATTTATATTCGGACCTCCTCTGTAACGACCATTTACTTAGCCGCAGTTTACTTGCTCTATCTATCTTCCTAAATCTCTATCTGTGTGTGACGCGCTTTACTTTTTCAGCAATTTTTTGAGACAATACTCCTTATATTGGATAGTTAATATGATTGATATATATATATATATATTATATACATACATACACTTATGTATACTTGATAAAAATTGTAGTCTAGAATGTCTAATAAATGTTTTGCTCCCAGCTCAGCAGCTCACATCGCAGTTTAAAAGGCCAGATCCTCGTCCAGCAGTCCATCCTCAATAAATGCACGCGAATCCTTCTTAAAGTGGCGATCACAGAACTCGGCAATCCTGGAGCAGGCCTCCTCGATCATCAGACCGGGTACAGTGAGCACAATCCTCACGTAACCTGGATACTCGAAACAGCTGCCTGGTAGACAGAAGACACTCTGCTCGTTGACCAACTCCTGGACAAAATGGGTGTCGTCTTTGAAGGCCGGAAAACGCTCGATGCTCACACCGATCATCATGTACATGGCTCCGTTGGGCATCACGGGATTGAGGCCGCGTACTTGCTTCAGCATTTTATAGGCCAACGTGGCATTCGACTGTATAGAAATATGAAAATATTTTAACATACATATTATAAATGGGATTAAGGATAGGATGTACTTACGTGAAGCACATCAATTACACCATCAAAGTAAGACTGTGGTGTTTTGGTCAAGATCTCGGGTAAGGCCCCCTGGATGATGGTGTTGGAGCCCAAAATGCGACCACACATATTCTTCAGACCGACAATGGCATTGGCCAAACGTTGCTTGCGGTCATGAACGATGATCCATCCCATTCGCCAACCAGGAACAAGGAAGCGCTTGGTCAATCCGCCGCAGGAAAGAACTGGAACCTCTGTGGTCAGGCTGCTAACGGCCAAGTGCTTTGAGCCAGGGAACACAAAGTGCTCATAGATCTGCAGGAATACATAAATTGATTTAAAATTAATTTTTCCAAAATAACATTCAGTCACCATAAAGGTGAATAACTTTGGTTTATTTCCTACTTGTAACGAATGATTCAGAATGTGAGATTCTAGATGGTTTAGGCCATTATTTTTATGGTTATTACCATAGGTCCATTAGGTCACTCACCTCGTCGGCTATGATCGGCAGATAGTGGCGTTCACAGATATTGATCAGTTGTCGCAGATGCTTCTCATCGAATACACTACCGCATGGATTACTCGGGTTGTTGATCAACAAAGCGGCGGTGTTCTCATCAATCAGGCTCTCCAGCTGAACGAGATCAGCACGCCATTGCTGATCAGGCAGGAGGTCATAGTAGCGTACTTCAATGTCCAGTCCTTCGGCCAGCGTATGGTACAAACAAAAACCTGGACGCGGTATCAATATATTCTGACCGTGATCAGCCAGGGCCAGGATACAGTACTCCAAGGCCGAGGAGCAGCCACTGCATAGTATAACGTCATTTGGCTCGATCTCGCCGTCAGGTCGCTGATGGGCACTGTACTTAGCCACTGCCTTCCGGGCAACCTCGTGACCCTGAGTATGGGCATATCCGTTATTCTTGCCACTCTCCAGCGAATGCAGCACCGCTTTCATGGTCTCATCGGCGGCTTTTAGGTTGCCAAAGGTTGTGGGATCACCTGTTGGGCAGAAAAGGCAAGGAATTAGTAATAGTATAAATTATTAATATTAATTATTTTTATTAAAAAAAAAAAAAAAAAAACTGACACGACAACCGAAACCGAAAGATTGCATTAGGTCAATGGCTAACTCGATCGTTTCCGCCTAGCTTCGGATCTGATGATTCCCGGCGAATTCGATGGATAAACACGGCAACAGAATATTCCGGCTTAGATCCCGAGTTCGATTCTCACCCGCTGACTCCGTCAAACAGGTGGAACTACATTTTATGCAAATACCCAACAAAAACAAAAACAAAAACACAAATACAATGCGCGTGCCTGGCTACAAAAATAATATGATATTACTAAAAACAAAACAGAAAACAAGAACAACAATCGAAACAACAACAGCTTTACAGATCTGTTTTTATATATCTGGTATTTGGTATATTTTAGCACGAATTTAGAAACTGATTAAAATTCACGATAATTAGAAATTTCTTTGCCGTTTCTGTAAATTTCCTAAGCCAAAAAAAAAAACCCGAATGAAATACCATTAAGAAAAGTCCATCGCCCGAGGATATCTTACTGTCTATATCGAGCTATATATATTATAATCTTGCACTGATCTCTGATTGGTTGAATTTTGTGGGTGTGTACCTGCATCTCTTAACTTCATGATGGTACCTAATTCATTTTTTGTTTTTACTTTAAACTAGTTTTAGCTGTTTTTGCCAAGTCAGTTGCCAAAAAAAATTGCTAAAAAAAAAAAAAAGCGGCAAAGGCAAAAGAGATCACGCATCCAAAATATTCAAATTAGTCCAAAACTTGTAGCACAAACGTCAGATATGTTATGGGGATATGGAAAACGAGGAGCAGGTTACCCACGAAACTGGATATAGTTCGCACTAGCTACTTAAATATTGTTTTTATAAATTTAAGGTATAAATTATTTAAAAATAAGTTATTTTTGGAGTTTGTTTTTTGTGCTAATATCTTAACTTTCAGATTAGCCTCGAAAAACAGTTTTTTAGATCTATCTTTCAGAAAAACAAAATAAAGATTAGTTAGGTAGTTAAACATATGTATTAGAACTTTCTATTCAACTTACCAATAGACAGCGGTATCATAGGTTTCTCCGGATTCGGCGTAATCTTCAGCGACTCTACAATGCTCCGGATGCGATTGTGGGTGTTGAGTGAAAGTTTAGATGCATTGATCTGCCATCCTGAACGTTTTTGGCTACTGGTCGATGCCTTAAGATCCTGCTTACTGATCTCCTGCGACTGCATCTGGAGCTCGGCCAAAGCTTGCTCCACCTCATCGCAGTTGGGAGTCACGGCTGCCGAAGAGTCCGGCTCACTGGGACTCCGGCTTGTGCAGCTGGCCCGACTGCGGCTGTTCTGGAATCGGAACTGACTCTCGTTGACAACACTGCTGGGCATTATCACCAGGCCGGCCCTTTCCAAAGGTAACGAAAAACAAAAACCAAACAAAAAAAAAACAAAACAGAAATTCCAAATATGTTTTGGGTTCGACGATGATGATGTCTCCGATCCGATTTCTGGGCAACTGGGAGCACCTCAGATAAACGTAAAGTTGGTATCCTGTTTATCGTTCCAGACAAGCATTAGAGATGCGATCTTCGGGGATTCCTTTCCTTGGGATAGAGGGTCTTCGATATAGGGTTTGTATATGATTCGGACCGGGTAAGTATCTTTAGCTTTAGGATTTCTTTGCGGATCGTTTGTGAATTCTGAAATAAACTGATCTACTTCGGAGATATCTTGGGGCTTTTATCGCCTCTGTCGGGCTTCGCTTAGCCGTTGCCATATAGGCTCTATATATATATATATATCTATATTAAAATACATATATCTGGGTATATAGCCCACACGCTCACATCGGCGGATAGCACGCGCCTGACTTTGGCTTCGGATCGAGCCGAGAGGGCCGATCGAATAAAAGAAATAACAACAACTTAGGGGCGCCGGACTGATTTGAATACCCGCCGCAACGAAATCATATTCATATAATGCCTGGCCCGACTCGGAACCAGATTTTAGTTCGATTTGATTTCATATAAACAACAACAGCCCCATCGCACCGTCGCGATATTTATTTAAATGCGCCAAAGTTGTCTATAATAACGTCTTGGGCCAAATCCAAACACCAATCAACCAAAACCATTAATGCATAGTCGAGTGATCGAGGGCTGCTAGATAGATTTCGCCACCCCCTTCTAACTATCTTGACCAGGCAACCACCCACTAACTCACCCCCCTATATGTAACCTATATAGTTGGCTAGACACGATCCCAGTTTTCTGATCTGAACGGTCATCGAGCTGATTACTGAACTTTAGTCTAAGAAATGGAAAATTGTTTTTCACAGCTATTCAAAAATTGATTACAAACATTGAAGAATGGGATACCTAAAATTTGAAAGACTTAGCAAAACATTTAATAAAGAATTTACTAAAACCGTAATCTAAAATAACTTTAAAAACGTTGGCACATATATATTTGTTTAAATTAAATTAAAATAATTTTATCATCTTGATAAAGACACACTTATTTATTTGTTTTGACTTATCATTGGTAAGGGTTATCTTAGTAAAATTAATATTTATTTTATGTTTATTCGAAAGTACGAAAAAGCTTATTTGAGAAGAACAATGACTTTTGTTTATAACCATAAGCTATTTATCCACCCAAGAGAATTATTATTTTTCTTAAAATATTTACGTACGTATAAGTCAAGTAAATACACTTCTTAATGTGAGTTTCTGAGAATTAAACATCCGTGTTTAAATAGCCATGGAAAAAGTAATAAATGTAACGGATTGGCCAGGAAAAATTTATATTTCTATAGCATTCCTATTCTTATTTTAAAACTAATATGAAACTATAAAACTATAACACTTAAAAACCTAAAGGATTCCAAATTTATATTACAATTAGATATAATAAACCTATAGAGAAGATTACCCTTATCACATGCACATCTGGACAAACGTGGAATGTACCTATCTATTCAAGTCCATTGATGTAATCACAACGATTTGCATAATCGAATATGCATAAGAGACTATAGGCTATATCTATATCTGAACCCGATCAACTAGATCAGCTAGATTAACTGGACGACAGCCAGTCACCACACCTGTTGACGATGACAACGCAATTCCCTGGACTTATGGAACGGGGATCCCGGTAATTTTGGTTCTGATCCCCGAGACAGGAATCGATTGCAATTCAAAAATTGCGCCGTAAGAATATGAAATCAAGAGCTTAACTTAAGAACGGACTGACGTAGGATCCCATAACAATAGAGGTTGACAAAAGGAGATATTTGGAAAAGAATAAGTATCAAACTTGATACATTACAATCGGACAATGGTGGTGTCGTATGTTAGGATTTATTTTGACTCGAAATCGGATTACTGTCACGAAAGAGGTGATTTCAAATCAAAAGATGACTGAACTAAGTTATGCTTCTATTTTATAATTCTTATACTTAAATATACCAAATACCAAACAGAAAAAAACATTTAAATTAAGCCGATTAACTAAAGATGTAGTTAGTTGACTAAGAACCTGCCTGATATGTCTAATTTTAGTTTTTTTGTTTTGCGATCAAAATATATTCCAGATTTCATATTCTTTTGCTTTTCTTTCTAAAACTATAATAAGTCCTAAAAGGACTCCCTTATACATTTATCTAACTTATGTTTTTCTAATCAAAGTTTATTTCGTTTTAGCAAATACTAAAGAAAGTTGTAAATATTGTTTGTTATTGAAAATTCTTGGCTATTATGTAAATGTTCTTTATATTTACAACATTCTAGTTGTTTGCTTTTGATTGTGATAAGTCAAAGCTGTTTCTGTTGTTGTTGTCAGATAATTTAATTGGCCTTTTAAATACTTCTCGATAAACAAAAATATGTTTTTCGCGCTAGCCTTGCCATTGCATCATAACAGTCCCCGATTTCTCAGAGTCAGGCTAGCTAGTTAGTCAGTGGGTAAGTCAGCCGATCGATGGAGCGAGCCTCCTGCTCACCTTGGTCGGATCAGGTTTTCTTGAACTTCTTTTTTCTGGCCACTTGTGCCACCGTTTTCACGACCCCCCTGAGAAGTGGTGGGCCAGGTCGATGACAATCATTTAAATTCGATTCTGTTGGACCGGCCTCCCTTTGGAGATGATTAAATACGTATATAAAATTTCTTAAGAATCTATTCTATGCTTAGTTTAGAAAAAAAAAATATATAAATTCTATTACAAAAACTGGAAAGAATGTGTAGAACATAGTAGATGGGGTTTCCATCTAATAGAACTTAAACTGACAATAGTTCCGCTGACTGATCTAGAGACTTATCAAATTACAATGAGAATGTAATCAAATAATCTATCAAACCTCCCACCTCCAAATAAACGATAATTAATTATACTTAAGTATCTTATAAAACTGCATATCTTTCGCTCAATGAGCAGAACAACGTTTAAGAGACTTGTGCACTTGTGCATTTGCAAGAATATATACATATAATTTTATTTTTTTAGTTTTTTGTCTTATGTTAGCCTTGATTTTGTACCATTGAAACATATAGGTATTTTAAACATACGATTACAATACTTAATCCAATCCGAGAATGAAAAAAAAAAAATCGAACGTAAATAATAATAATAATAGATTCCAAAAAACGAATTTAAAAGTTAAGTTTGATCCGTAAATTTGCGGTATACCAAGAGATCCGGTCTTGATCCGCCCTTGAGGTGTACGGGGAATGAACGATTAATACTGCGATCGCGCCTACTTGCGCTTGAACATGCTGCTGAGACGTCGCTTGGGCGGTGAGTTCTGTAAATGGACAATGATGACATGACGTAAGTACACATAACGAACATTAAAGCTAAGCGAGATTTGTGCGATTTCCAATTTGTAGTGACCGGAATATTAAGATGTGATCAAAAGGATCAGTCCCATTCCCGCTAAAACGCCAGTGAGTGCCAGCACCATCCTGTCCGCTAGTATCGAACACATCCACACGATGGTCAGCAAAAGGAATCCCACAATCAACCGCTCACTGGAACTCAGGCGGCGTATGAGTAGCCTGCACCGAGCAAGCAGTGAGCGGTTGAGCATGGGCTTCTGCAGAATCCGTTCCGTTGGCTGGACATAAGTGATATCGACATGCGGCATTGGCTGCATATGAACACTGCCCATCGAGTAGACGGTACAAGACTTGCGAGAAGAGGCGCTTGTTATGTTGGTGGCGCAGCTCGTAGTAGTGATGTTACTACAAGAAGCGACCAATGGCGGTAATTTTGGTTCTGCAGGCTCTTCGGCAGGCTTGTAATCAAGCAACCGTAACTTAAATGGCGCCGAGGACTCCGTCTTCTTGCACAGCTCTTCGAATTGCCAATCCTCCTGGGTCTCCTCAAATGCACTCTGGCCACCTTCCATTGAAAAGGTGGCCATGTTTTCTAACTCAAACTGCTGTTGCAGCTGCAACGAATCGCAGTGCTTCTCCACCCTAAATGTGGCTGCTCCAGCCGGAGTCCTTGGACTCCTGCCCTTCAGCACCATTGTCTTCCCCATCAAAAGCTGATTGGGCAGAGGATCTTCATTGCGATTGTGGAGACTGTAGTTGTTATTCTCGGCGGACTCCGGAGATGGAGTTGCATTGGAAAGGTACATCTGATCTAGGTGACGGGCCAGATCGAAGCGACCCATCCGCTCCTGGCGCAACTTTCTGCTCTGCTTCTCCCTTTTTGCGACAACTGCTGATCCAGACATCTTTAACTTTAAGCACGCCGCTGCCGGCCGACTCTTGGCAAAGATGTTGCCGTGAAGGCAAAGGGAAACGCGACCTTTCCGCAATTTTGCTTGACCAGTTAGGCGGCGAGTATTGCCCTTAGTTAAGGCCAGCAACGCTTCATTGGTCAAATGCGGAGTGCCCTGTTGGTCGGCCTCCTCTTGCGGATCTGCCTTATCTTCCAACTGCTCCTGTTCTTCCAATTGTTCCGCCACTTCTAACTGCTCCACATCTTCCAACTGCTCGTCTTCTGTCTTTGATGAATTCGTATTTCTGGCATTGATCATACGCTGCTGATCATAGTAGGAACGGCTCTTTCGGGGCGTTGATGTACAAAACAAGCCAACTGCCCGACGCAACCTACGGCGCTGCATACCAGTAATAAGATTCGGCCGCGTACTTCGCGGCAGCTGTTGGATAAGTCAGACATATTCGATCAGTTGCCGGGCTAATGGTGAGCCACAAACGAGGACACCACGAGGACAAAGACAAGACATGGACAAAGCCCGAAGGCAAGTAACTACGACACACAAAGACCTATGACACTATGCTAATATGAAGCACATAAGTTGCAGTTCCTAGCACTATCTATTAAATCAAAATTGGATGACAATGACCACTACGACCAGTACCGAGAATTCTTTCTCGAAAGTTCACTTTTACATAAACAAAACATTGAAAAGCACAAATCTACACGACAGACTAATCCGGACTTACCTCGTCCCGGGGCAGGCCACTACTGCCAACGCTAAAACGTTGCGTCAAGAACCTAAATCGCGCTGGCGTCTTAGAGGTGTTGTTGTGATCACCAAACTCTCGCAGGATCTCTCGCGGCGGTTCTGAGTTACCGAAAGACAAACGTCCGCCATTCTTGCTAGGTGTTGGAGGCCCAGGTCGCTTGTAGTGGGTTCCCATGGACTTCTTCCGCGCTCCAGTGCTCGAAGAGCTGAGCAAAGCACTCATGCTGTCATCCAGACTATGAGGTCCGTCCTGTAATAAAGGATAAAAGACGAATTAATATCGAAGCTTAGGAATTAATAAATTTTGGACAGCAAAACGATTTTTAGGACACGCATACACCGGACAAAGACAGTAACAAGAACAGTAATTTCCAGACAGAACAGAAAAGACATCTAAGACGGCGGACAAAAGCTCACTCGGTGTCTAGGTAAGGGTAGGGATAAATGGTTCTACTGTCGGCGTATCATGCGGCCCCACTTTGCCCTAACGGCTGCCTGCTGGGCCTTTAAGGGTGAGCTGCTCGTGCCGTGTCTGGTCTTAACGCTGTTAATGCTGCTACTGCTGCCACTACTGCCGGTGAATCTGCCGCCGGAATCCGGAGTACAGCTAACGCTTACTTTAAGATCTTCATCCTGGCTGCCCAGATCGTACTGGGCCGCATATGCACTCTTCAAATGTGGCGGTTGCAACGAGTTCCGGTACATTAGCTCCTCGGCCCTGAAATAGATAAAATGAAAAGATAACTTCTGCGAACATGAATATACAACTAACTACAAACTTACGTCATTTCCGTAGGAACGCGTCCCAATTTCAGATCTGTCAGATAAGTGTTGTTGAAGACCTCACCCTCCTCATCTTCCATTGCCAAATTAGAGGATGGTGCATTGGGCCGCTTAAAGGGTTGCCAATCTTCGTTCGTCGCCGATGAACTACTGGAGGGAACAATTATCGTTGCGGTGGATGACTTTGGTTCGCTACTAGGCTGCAGGTGTTTAAGCTGAGTGCTCATAATGGCATTCTGCTTTTTGTGCTCCAAAATGATCTCATTGAGACGGACAATCTGACTGGACAGCTTGCGTACGTGCTCTTCGAATTTGGCATTCTGGCAGAGAAGAGGATTAATATTTGAACAACATGGACTGTGAAAATATTTACCTGGGCTTGGAGTGCCTCCCGTTCCGCTTCGCTTTTAGCTGCATCCCGTTCCTGCCTCTCCTTCATGCGAGTCACCTCCGTTGTATACAATACACGCTATGGATGATGTGTCAAATGTCCGGATGCGTGTAGCGTGTGGATGATGAATGTGGACCAATTAAGGTAGTGTTAAATCGGATGTAGGACGCGTTTCGGAGAACGTGAAACAGTGAGTGAAACAGGAGTGAGGACACAACAAATATTTTTCAGCAATTGCCAAATCATATGCATAGTGCATATTTATCATATATACATATATATATTTTATATATAAATATTTACATAAAAACAAAAAAAATTAAACAAATATTAAAAACTACCTAAAACTCTTTGGGGTTGTGACCAATTAGCCTAAGAGTGGTGTCGTTGTAGTACAAAATAAGGGAAATTATACAAATGACTAGAATCACGCAGATCAGAGACAAAATATATGGGTTGAGCAGAAAATTGCGTCCGCGTTCACGAAATGTGTTGACCGGGTTATTATTGTTCCTGACCACTTCCGCTGGTATTTCTTCTTCTGCACTTACTGCCTTGTCCAGCGCCTCGGTTTGCATCTATTGGTGGCGGAAGGATGGTTTTTTTTTTATTTAAATTACGGTGCGAATGGGTGATTTATCGAATGATTGATAAAATTAAATAAATTATGGATTTTTAATAAGCGAGATTACATTTAAAATTGAATTAATTTTGAAACTAGAGTTCCTGCGGCAAATTAACAAAGATTTGACGATCTTGGTATTCCCTCAAATGAAGCTTACATGTGGCCTATACAACAACAAGCCCTTATTTTGGGTATAAATTAGTATAACAAAACAACGACAACAACATAAACAACGAACAAGCAACAATTTTAAAAATATATGTATAAAGTGGCATGGCGCTAGTGGCGGATCACTTAGGGAAAAAGTAGGATGAATAGCATGACGTTGGAGACTAATCTAAACTTGGTGGCATAGTGGACTAGACAAATGAACGCAGTACTTCTTGACCGACGTAACATCCATGCCACCTTATTAAAAACTGTTTTGGTTTCATTAACACGTTCTAATAGTTCACAACGACTTACCATCTTGTCCTTCATCTTGTCCAACTTGCCCTCCATCTCTAGACGCTGATCCTTGATCTGCTGTTCACTACGATCTTTCTCATTCCTTGATTCAATATATTTGGCCTGCAGGATCTGACAGTCTAGCTCAAGCTTTTGAATTCGTGCTTCCTGCTGGCGTGAGACTTCGTTTTGTTGTTCCGATTGGGTACCACCGTCACCTCTGCTGTAGGTGGCGCCAAGATCAGTTTCAGCCTGGCTCTCGTTGGCATTTCTTGCCACGGCTAGTTCTTGCTGGCATTCGGCAAGCTCTGCTTCCATGGATTCTAAGCGTTCTTTGTAGGAACTAAGTCGCTGGCTTGATTCGGCACGGTAGGCATCGTTCTTTAATACCATTTCCCTCTGTTCTTTTTTAGATTTGGCCAGCCGACTGGTCAACTTCGTTACCTGTTCCTGGGCCTTATTGCGTTCTGTGAGCGCCGACAACAGATTTTGCTTTGACTGCTCTTCGACTTCGATCAATCTGTTTGAGACCGATTCATAATTTTCTTTTGCCTCGGAACGCTCAGTTTCCAAACGGTTTTGCAAATCCGTTACCATCTTAGAGCTCTTTTCCAGCTGTTGTTTTAGTAGTCTCGCCTCCAAGTTAGCACTACCAACCTCAAGATGAAGTTCGTCGTGCGATGTTTCTGCTTTAGTGAGCTCTGATTTTAACTTTTCGATTTGAATTTCACTGTTTTTGTTATTCGACTCCAGTCTATTTATTTCCTTGAGGTTGCTTTCACGCTCCTTTGCCGCCTGCTGCTTCTCCTCCTCCCATCTGGCCTGAGCATCAGCTAACTGACTTGTACGAATTGATAGTTGCGCCGTGACATTATCCAACTTTTCTTGTTGCTCAACTTTGAACTGATTTGCAAGTCTCCTTTCATCCAAAAGCTTAGTTCGCAACCCGTCTAGTTCACTCAGTTCCTTATGATGTTCTTTTTTGAGCCGTTCTATATCACTTATTTTGCTGTTAAGCGCAACTTTCAGACCATCTACTTCGGACTTGAGATTTACATAGCTTACGAGCTGTTCGTTAGCCTTTTTCAAATCTTCCTGTTGACTTTCTAGTTTTAATTTGAGGTCATTTATAAGATCCTGTTCATCCTGAACCTTAGTCTGCAAACTAAGTATCTCGATTTTAGAGCTATCATTTAACTTTTGTAGTTCTGCCATGCGATTTTCATAGCTAACAAGTTGTTCTTTAGTCTTTCTTGTCTCTTCCTGTTGATTTTCTAGCTTCAATTTGAGATCATCTGTAAGTTTTTGTTTATTCAGAAGCTTAGTCTGCAAATTAAGTAGCTCGTTTCTAGAGCTTTCACTAAACTCTTTTAGTGTCGACGAAAGACTTTCATAGCTAACTAGTTGTTCCTTAGCCTTTTTAGTTTCTTCTTGTTGCTTTTCCAGCTCTAATTTAAGCTCATCTGAATGTTTTTGTTCATCCAAAATCTTAGTCTCCAAACTAAGAAGCTCTTTCTTAGAGCTGTTATGCAACTCTTGTAGTTTCGCCGAGCTACTTTCATAGCTAACTAGTTGTTCCTTAGCCTTTTTATTCTCTTCCTGTTGATTAGTTAGCTCTAATTTGAGCTCATCTGTAAGTTTTTGTTCATTCAAAAGTTTATTTTGCAAACTAAGTAGCTCGTTCTTGGAGCTATCATTAAACTCTTGGAGTTTCGCCGAGCTACTTTCATAGCTAACTAGTTGTTCCTTAGCCTTTCTAGTCTCTTCCTGTTGATTTGCTAGCTCTAATTTGAGCTCATCTGTAAGTTTTTGTTCATTCAGAAGTTTATTTTGCAAACTAAGTATCTCGTTCTTGGAACTATCATAAAACTCTTGCAGTTGTATTAGTTGTTCCCTGACATTTATAATCTCCTTTTGTTGTTCTTTTGTTAATGTAAGCTCATCTGTAAGTTTCTGTTCATCCAAAAGCGTAGCGCGCAGATTGAGGACCTCCTCATTAGCTTTTATTAAGGCTTCCTGATGCTGGACTAGCTGTTTTTGGAGCTGATCCGTAAGTGTTTGTTCATTCTGAAGCTTAGTTTGTAAGTCGAGCAGCTCATCTGACACGACGTCCACCGTTGGAGTTTTGGTTTCGGTCATAATCGAACGCAGCTCCTCCTCCTTCTTGGCCAACTCTACTTTGAGCTGATCCCTAAGCTTTTGTTCGTTCTCGAGTTCATGACGCAGACGTAGCTCTTCCTCATTGGAGCCCATATCATTCAGTAGCTGCTTGTGCGTCTCAATAGTTTGGCGAAGCTGTTGCTCATTAAGGCGTGCATCTTTCAGATCGGATTCACACTCCTTCAGAAGTAGATTGTGGTTCGCAATGGTTTGGCGATGCTGCTGGTCCTGGAGGCGGTAATCTTCCAATTGCTCTCGAATTGTCTTGATTTCGTTTTCGTGGTCCTTGTCAAACTCCTTCTCCGACAATTGGAACTCTATCTGCGATAGCTGCTTCTCGAGATCTTGACACCGCTGTTTACATTCAGCTTTCAAATTCTTTAACACTAACTGTTCCTCCTCCTTTTCCGCCAATTTTTTTTCCATATCATTGCGGCACTTTTCTAGATCTTGGCAGCTCTTTTCTAGATCTTGGCAACGCTTTTCATACTTGTCTTCGATAGTTTTTAAAAGTTCTTTGTGCTCTTCATCTAATTTTTTCAACATTTCTTCAACATTGTTCGCAGTCCCGTTTGCTTTTTCATCATCGTCCTTATGTTGCTGATTACAGCTATCGTTAAGAACATTCATCTGTTCCTGATTTGTATCTTTTAACATTGCAATTTCGTCATCTCTAGCCTTAAGTTCCTCTGTCAATTCGTCTAGCTTGGCAGACTTTTGCTTATCTGTATTTTCCATTTCGGCTATTCTAGACCCACGACTGTGCATCTCTTTGGTGATATTAATAATAGTTTCACTCATCTCCGTTTGCACCTTATGCAGCTTAAGGTTATCCTCTATCAGATGTTTGACTTTTTGATCATCAGACCCGTCATCTTGTAGGTCATTCAGCTTTTGCTCCAGACTACCCTTAATCTGCTTGAGCTTTTCAAACGACTCATTGAGCTCACGGTTCTGATTCTCCAGGGTCTGGCGACTCGCATTCATCTGGTCATAGATCTTGACGAAGTTGTTCATCCAATGGAAGAGCTGCTCGGGATTGTTCAATTCAGTACAAATAGAGCCCTCCTCTTTAGGAAGCCGAGATTCAATGGTGGCAATCATTTTGATAGCTTCCAAATTGTTACCATCTATCTGCTTCTCAGCCTTACTCAGATTTTCCGACACTTCCTTCAAATTCAATCGCTCCTCTTCCAGAGTTTTCTCTAACTCCCCAACCAGTTTACTATGGGTTTCATTCTGGGCATTATTCTCACCAATTAAAATACGCAGCTCGTTGACAGTTAATTGAAGAGAAGCATTGCGCTCCTGAAGATCTCCCAGCCGTTCAAGAATAATGTTTATTCTTAACTCAACAGTGTCGACTGTTTGAATCTGCAGCTGAATCAACGATTCAACCTCCTCAAACTGATTAACTTCCTCCGATTCAGAGGATCTTTCAGACTTCAACAGGCTATTTATACGGGAAAGGAAACTTTCGATCTCCTGCTTTGAGTTACTCAGCTGTACAGTTTTCTCGGCTAGTTCAGCGTCGGTCTTTGCAGTCAGCTGGATCTGGTTCTCGAGCTCCTTTTGTGAACTTTCGTTCAATTTATGGAGTTCCCTAAGGTCCTCCATCTTTTGCGAAAGCTCCAACTTTAGATCTTCATTTTGAGCTTGAATCTCGATTACGCGCTCAACTGTGCTCTTCCAGTCTGACTGATTTAGTTGGCTCAACATCTGATTCATATCCACAATTCTGTCCTCCAACTGGCTTCGACACAGGGCATGCTGTGATTTTATATACTCCTGCTGGTGCTGATGCTCGCTTGCCTCTCTTCTTCTTTCCTCCTCAATTATCCTAAACCTACCTTCGAGGGATTCGTTCTTGTCGCGCAGATCTAGGATTTCAGTATGCAAATCTTTCAATTGTTTTTCCTTCTCGGCCAGTTGCTGCTTTATTCCGTCAAGATGTTCATTCCCTTCCGATACAAGCGATTGAAGCTTATTGCACGTTTCACTTAGCTTAGACTTCTCCATTTCCAAAGAATCAATTTTCAGCTCGTTTTCGGAAATTTTAAGCTTAAATTCATCCCGCAAATTGTTTATTTCTTTTCTTGCTTTCGCAGCGCCTTCCTCAAGCTCATTATTCTTGGTCATAGCTTCGCCCAGTTGTTCTTTCTGACTTTCCAAAGTTTGAGCTAGCGTTTGGCATTTCTGCAGAAGGTCATCAAAGCTAGAGGTCTGATTGTCCGAAGATAGATTTTGATTGAGGTTATGCTTTTGGAGAAAACTGGCCAAACCATTGTTCAGCTCATGCAAGGAATCGCTTTGCTTTAGCAGCACTTCCTTAAGCTCAGCGTTCTCATGTTCCTTCTCGCGCAACTGTTTGTCAATCACAGAACTGGCAAGATTCTCTGGGGTGGTGTTTGGGGACAATGAACAGTCTAGCAAATCAGAAGATGCGTTTAGAACCTCACGTCGACTATGTAACTCCTCACGCGCCTCCTGAAGACATCGATTGATCTCTTGCTTGTCGCGCTCCAAGCAAGCGATTCTATTCTCCCTAACAGCGATATCGTGGTTCAAGTCCTTCACACGCGCCTCAAGCCCGCGGACGCATTCCGTGTACATGAACACTGTTTTCTTACATTCTTGGAGCTATTCGAATACAAATATAAAAAACTACTTAAATACTTGAAACATTTAGGGGAATATAAGTAAATTTTCGTTCCATATAACAACATATAACCAGTACAGTTTCGAAACCAAATCCGATATTTTCGAAGACCTATTCACAAAAGATCGGAACAGGTAACGCTTACCTTACGGGATAGATCCTTATTTTCGGAGTACGCTTCCTGCAGCTTATCGTTAATCTCCAGTATAGCCGTATCCTTTTCGCTAATTTCCTTCAAAAGGCTCCGTTTCAACTGAAATGAGGTTTTATTAGTTTATGGCTTTTGTTACCTGTCACCATCTGGTGGTCTACCTACATGCTCAAACGTATTTGGCGTGCCGTTCGTTATGTCATCGTCCTCCTCTGCGGAATTCACTGCGTCCTTCAGTTTAGTTAATTCCGTCCTGGCCTCCATATTTTCTAAAATTCAAAAAAGATTGAAATAACTTCTTAGACCGTAAACTAGCATTAAGAATGCATACCTTTTTCTAGGGCCTTAATGGTTTTGTCTTTATCAATATGCTGCTCCTCAAGCATCATCTTCTCATAGCGCACCATCTCCAGCTCGGCCTGAATATTGCGCAGCTCCCGTGTACGTTGGTCCAAAAGCTCGCCTTTTGGGGTCGGCGGAGCTGGCATTTCACAGGCTGAATCATTAAGACTTCCGAGCTCGCGATATCGCGACTGTGGCGTACTGCTCGGCTCCTGTGGAGAAGCGGGTATAGAAGAGGACGAGCTTGGTGTGGCATCACAGTTTAGATCTGGGCTTTGAGGGCTACATGGGCTATTTTGGACACCGCTTTTATAAATGGCAGACACCTTAGTGATCGTCAATCGCAGATACTGTCGCGTCAATTCCCGGTCCACTGCCCTCTCAAAGAACGCGGCGATAACGGCTTGCATCGGTGTCGGCAGACTTTTACAGATGTTGTGAAAATATAAGATGCGATTCCTTACGCACGAGCAGTGCAAGAGCAGCGTGTAAACCAGCAAATAATCCGCGCTCGCCACATCTCCATGGCTATCAAGGTGGACACTGAACTCCGGGTAGTTTTCTGCAAGGATAGGACTTATTATTAGGCATATTGCCAAAGGGAAAAATATTTAATTTTTGAAACCCCGAAACTGTAACCACTGCATGCATATATGTATATATATATATAAATATATATATTTAGCTATAACCCATTGTCATAGGATGTAGATCTTGGTTTGGTGAATTCAACACATTTTCAAGGCGGTTTGTCAATTGCGTCTTACAATAACATAAATGATTTCTTAGCAACCCAATATAAAAATTATTTAACCTTATCCCTAATCACTCACCTTCGATGAATGTCTTTAGGGAGCGGCTTTTCTTTGGCTGAGCCTGCAGCATTTGCTTCTTCTCCTGCTCCGCTGTCGCCGCCCGGGCCTTTCTCATATAGATCACAAAGAACGCCTTGATATCCGACTGCTCCAGAGTAATGTAGTTCTGATCCATGAACTCGCACTGGCGAATCTTTCGAAGGATTGGGTTAGTGAATGATCAACAAGATCCATAAGCACCCAGCACTTACCCACTGAATTATAACCTTGCGCCAGCCGCGCGACTCCATGGGTGGCGTATCCATTTATATATATATATATATATACTACACGGAAACAAAAGACACAACGGGACTTTTCTTACAAATGGAACAACGGGACTTGATTGAGAAATGCGAAAAAAAAAAAAGGGGACAAGTATTGTGTTCCACCAAACGTTAGACAAGACCGAACCGAACCGTTTTAACTCTGATTAACAACTGAAAAATCAACCGACTGGGGTTGCACTATTAATTTTGACAATTCAACAAACGAAGTCATGGATAAGTTGATCCAAAAAAACACCGGGAACGCAAAACACTTTTTCGGCGCGTCGTTTAATTCAAATGCCGACGCGATGCGACTCCACGCGAAGTGTGTTCGGAAATTTTTATCGATCTATCGTTGCATATAAAGAGATGCATGTGGGGTATTCTAGTGTATACGTATCAGCTATCGATATTAATATAAACCAAGAAGCAAAATATGCATCCACTTATTTCAAATTTTTTTTTAAACAAATATTTTTAAACTATTTCAGGTGTTTAATCTTAAAATCTTAAAATATGTAGTAATAACAAAAAATAATGTAATTTATTTTACGAATACAACCATCTCCATGCTATAATATATCTTATAGAACATGAAATAAATTAGCAAGTAACTATAGAGAACTGGGTTCCATCCCGACGGATTACAACCTAAAATGTTATAAAAAAAAATAGCTAATCATAAAATAAATAAGTACATAGTCCCCATAAATTTAGCCACTTTTATGTTTTCATTTTTGTAGTTCATAGTTGACGGCACTGAACTTCGGTGCAAAAGGCACATCGAGTAAACAACGCTTCTGGTTTTGGGGGAATACCTAAAAATCGGGGCTACCAGCGGCAGAGTGTGGTCCACCACATGTAAGCTATTAAACTGTAATAACAATAATCAATGACCGAAAACAATATGCCCGGAATTAGCGCCCACTCCGTGTCCCAAAAGCATGCACACAATTGCGAGAACATACATCTAGGGATAGTGGTGCTGATCGTTAAATATAACGCCATCATTAATTCAGACAAACAATGGAAATGCACTACGTACATATATCAATTTGAAGGTAATTTAAACAAATGTAACATTTTTTAGGACGCAAGTAGGAAAATTTTGTGGTAAATTAAAAATACAAAACAAATAATTCCTCAAAAAAACATTAACCAGACCGGAAATTTTACAATTTTGTTGTCAGCAGGAAATGGCATTATATACTTTATATAAATATAAAATGAAATTAAAAAACAAATATGAATTTAAATGATTAAATGAATAAGATTATAGAACATTTCGAGATATAGCTATCAGGCGAAAGCCATATGGGCAGAACTGTTCGCACAATACAATTCTCACGTATTTAGCATTGATTTCCATACGGAGATCGGATCATTTCCTTCCTTTGATTGCCGTCTATTTATAAAGGCCAATTTCCTGTTTATATTTTTTATAATACATTTATTTATTCGATACAATGGCGAGGCCATCCCTCCGACCCCAAAAACGTACCCATATAATCTTATATCTTATGGCATTGAGCTTACTCGCACCACCTGCGGCAGGGGCAGGGTGTCCAGACGCTGCAACCGCTGTCGTTTCTCACCGGGATTCGTATTGGCATTGGCGTTGCTCGGACTTAAGCCCGTACTTCGTCCCGACTTTGAACCGGGCCCCGGTCCACCAGCCGAATCCGTGCTATCACTCTGTGCCTCCACCAACTTTACATGAGCGATTGTCTGGCCAAAGAGCTTCTGCCTAAAACTTGGCCTTTTGGGTGCACCACGATGCACTCCGATTTCTGAGGCATGTTGATGATGACCATCCTCACGATCCCCAGATCGTTCCTTGTGACGATGGCGTCTCTGCTTTTTGCGATGCTCGCCATTTGGTAGCAATTCGTTTACATAGTGCAATGCACTAGAGGCACTGCCCGTGGAATCTGTTCCAGATTGTCCATGATGAGAGTGCGAATGCTTCGCGTGCCGAGCATGCTTCTCCTCCAACTCGATCTTATTTTTCAGTGTCACTTCCTCGATGTGCCGCTCCTGAAAAATTTAAGAGCATCTCTGAATGAACTCATCTCGCTTGGTTCACTGCAAGTTAAATGTCCTACAAACATGGCTCGCCTGTGCCTGTCCCTTTTGGCCAGGACGACCACCCAGGCGCCGTATGACAGCATAATGCCAGCCGGAACTAGGACGCCAGCCAGCGAGTTCTCCGATTTCCGGACACAGGCATGATAAACGGCCAGGAAAAGTACTGCAGAATGGGTAATCCGTTAATTGGTGGCTTTTAATGTACACTCTAGATATATAGTCGCATTTAGCTAACACCAATCATCCGAGAATCGGACATTTCTAATTATCTCTTCCGACCGAATGTTTTAAAAAATGAAGGTGAAGAGAGGTATTTTAGATTTATATAACTTATTCAAAACAATAGATGCCTTTTGAGCAATTATGAAACAATACTTTATATTTAATGCTCTTTCTTCTAAGAATTGAAATCTTTGAAAAAACAGATGGTTGTGATTTGTGTTAGAAAAGTTCAACTTATCCAAAATGCCACGAAATAGCCGTAAACGTACCCAGAAAACAGACGATGACAGCTACTAAGCGTCCATTGGCTTTTCGTTCCTCCTGCAAAAAGGACGATGGATTCATGAGAAATGGTGCCACCAGTTGACTCATTACTAGATGCAGTCGCAGAATCTGAATTTTCAGGGCTATTCATATTTCTTTCTCTCTCAGGTTTTGGTGAGTGTGATGCCATAAAACAATTGTTTACAATTTCCACGTTCCATGCATATAGACGCTTATACACAAGAGAAAAACAATGGATTCGCAACTATAGAATCTACAGTAAATATTAGCAAAAAAACAAAAAAAAAAAACACTCAAAAAATTGTATCTTATAAAAAAAATTATGCAGCCAATTAAATTAGGATGTATAGGAAGCCAAGAAACAGATATAGTTTTCCACTACTGGACTTTACAATTGCAAAAATGTGTGTATTAAAATTATTTTAATTGCACACAGGAATTCCGAAAGGAAAACCTTATATAAGTTTGATTATCTTACACTTCATTAAATGCTGTGATTTACACAAAACGCTTGGAATTTTTGTATATCTTAAAGATGTGTTGATTTTGTTTAGGTGATTTGAACAAAAAAGTAAACTTTTTTTGTGTGATTTTATCGAAGTTTTGATGTCGGAAAAGTTTTTAAAAAACACGCAGTAAATTTTGAATCTACTTTTGATTGGCATTATAACATTTTAAAACTAAATATATAATTCATGGCTTATGCACTTCACATGTTCACTGTACGTTGAAAAGATCTAAAGGAAAACTAAATGAAAATTTCAGGTTTAATGTCTGACACATTCTGGTAATGACGGCGCCACAATCGATGGCGTCGTACAAACTTTGAGAGACGGCTGCAAATTTAAAAAAAAAAGAACTGGAAGTCAAATAGTATCCGTAATGACGTGCCCGTAAATCAAGGTGTTTCCGATGAGTCACAAAACACAGAAAAAAAATAAACACTACAGAAGTATCCATATTAGTACATTTTAGTTTGGGGTTTCTTTAGAAACTGTACACCCATAAGTTAAAAATTTATGGATACCTTAGGAAAATTTAGTGACAAAAGATTAGTTTATAGATTTTTGTACTTCTCTTTAGTTCACTGTACTAAAACAACGCATTATCCTGAACTTACTCGCGACTTGAGGTCAAGGATCTCGTTGAGGTTTTCTTGGATGATCTCCTCATCCGACATGGACGTAATGCTCTTCCTGGCCACCAAAGCTGTAAGACCGTCCGGCGATTTGGGCACTGCCGGATTGGTGTTCACCGTTCCCGTAACTCGCGGCATTACTGCCGGAAATTTCGGCTCCGGCTGTCGATTTGAAGCGTTCGCGGCCATGGTAAAAACTTTACGACGGAATTAAATGGCTTACGGACTAGTTTGGTTTAATGGGCCGCAAAACGATCAAGCGAGTAAGCGAATTCAAACGGAAAATCGCAAGAAAAAAATGTGTATTATTTTTATTTTAGATTTAGAAAATTTCACAATTGGAATGGAGATCGCGCCCGGTCAGCGATCAGGGATCGAGTGAGGAGCGAAATGGTGCGGTTATGGGCTAAACCTTCTCGCCTCCTCGTTTTTCGACATCGGGCATTTTTTGTTGCGGCCGAGCAACAGTATTTGGTGTTAAGTATTCGATTTTCGAACCCAAAAACAATACGGCAGTGTTTATTTACACTGCAGTAAATAATTCTCCGGCTATATATATGTAAGTATGTACATGTTCCAAGTTCATATCGAATCGATGCGTATTTGAATGTAGCCACAGGCAGAAATATGCAGCAATTAAATTGTTTATTTTTATGCAAAAGTTTTGCAGTTCGTGTGCATTTTTTTGAAAATCGATTATCGATAGGATAAAAGAATTGAACAATTAAAACTTAGTTTCTTATAAGAGCAGTTATACTTCATATAAAATAAAATGTTTTTACTTTATAAAATATTAATATTGAAATAAAATAAGATATATTTTTCTTTGATTATTAACGATGAAGTTATAGAAACCGCTTATTTGCGATATTTAAACTGATATTTGAGCTTAATAAATCAGAGAATTTTACAAAAGTTTTGAAAATTTGAAAATAAATACCCCCAAAAATCTTTTTAAATTTATCGGTGGTACAGTGTAAACAATCTTATCGATAGCATCACAGTCCAATATATCCGATGGCGGTAGTTAGACAACTCGATAGAGTCAAGCATTTTGCAGCTCCTGATATCGATTGCTCGCCTCGGACAATCGAGGCTAGACAACCAGGCTAGGCAATCCTCTAAAGGAATCCAGGCCGGCGAGCAATCGCTGCAACGGCAACCACAACTGCACCAGGAACTACAACAACACCTGCGACGTCCCCTGATCCAAACAGATCAAATCGGGAACGGAACTTGCACCTGTCGTCGTCAGCAGCAGGAGCCACCGCATCATGGCCCAATCTCATCGGGATCGAGAGCGTGGCTCTGGGCCATTGCCCAACCGCTGGTTGTATTGTCCGCGCAAGAGCGACTCCATCATCGCTGAGCGATTCCTGGCCTTCAAGACACCACTGAGTCAGAACTTTCAAGATAAGATGCCCATCGAGTGCACCTTTCGTCCCGAGATGCTCTTTGACTACTGCAAGACGATCAAGGTAGCTAAACCATATCAGAGTTGACACAGCAATCAACTCACCCAACCAATTTATACCATAATTGCAGCTGAAACTTGGCCTCTGGGTGGATCTGACCAACACGAAACGCTTCTATGATCGATCGACGGTGGAAGAGCGCGGAGCTCAGTATATTAAGCTGCAGTGCCGCGGTCACGGAGAAACGCCCTCACCGGAACAGACGCACAGCTTCATTGAGATCGTGGACAATTTTATTAACGAACGTCCATTCGATGTTATTGCCGTGCACTGCACGCACGGCTTCAACCGAACCGGCTTCCTGATCGTCTCTTACATGGTCGAGCGACTCGATTGCTCCGTGGAGGCAGCTCTAGCTGTTTTTGCCAACGCCCGACCGCCAGGCATCTATAAGCAGGACTATATTAATGAGCTTTATAAGCGTTATGATGATGAAGAGGACGCTCCGGCAGCACCAGAGCAGCCCAATTGGTGTCTCGATTATGATGACAGCAACGGCGATGGCTCGGCGACAGACAGTCGAAAGCGGCAATTTGACGACAAAAGCTCATCTACGTCACAGCAGGGCCACGATCAGGATGATGAGGTCGAAGGAGAAGGTGAGGGGGCAGAAGGCGACGCAGATGCATCCACGTCTGATGGACAGCCAAGAAAAAAGCGGCGCCGGGAGGTGGTTATTAAAAATGCTACCTTTATGGCTGGAGTTCCGGGTGTGCGGCAAGTTACTGACCAGCCGCGGCTTGGGGATCTGCAACGTAAGGTACAGGATTGGTGCCAGTGGAAAAAGAACGGCTTCCCCGGTGCCCAGCCAGTGTCCATGGACATGAAGAACATAAAGCGCCTCAGCGAGATACCATATCGGGTGTCTTGGAAGGCAGACGGTACCCGCTACATGATGCTCATCGATGGTCGGGATGAAGTATACTTCTTCGATCGTAATCACTCCTGTTTCCAGGTGGAGAACGTGACATTTTTAGATGGCAAGAACCTTAACGAACATCTCGACGGCACTCTCCTTGATGGGGTAGGTGGCAATCGATAATCTGATTCAAATTCATCTAATCTTATTTGTTTTGGGGCTTGCAGGAGATGGTGCTGGACAAGATTGGCGACACAGTAACGCCGCGGTACCTCGTCTACGACATTGTTCGTATTTCTAATCGTGATGTGCGGGACAAACCATACTATCCCAATCGACTGGATCACATAAAGAACGATGTTATTGGTAAGCGTATTATCAATTTGCGATCTTATGCGATCTCTGAATGTAACCTATTGCCACCACAGGTCCCCGCATCTTGGGCATGAAGCAAGGTATAATCAATCAGCGCCTTCAGGCGTTTAGTGTGCGCGGCAAAGATTTCTGGGATATTTGGATGTCTGTTAGACTGCTGGGCGAGAAGTTCTCCCGGAAGTTGGCCCACGAACCGGATGGCCTCATCTTCCAGCCATCTCTACAGCCGTATACAGCAGGTGTTTGCCCAGACGTATTTAAGTGGAAGCCACATGAGCTCAACTCGGTGGACTTTCGGCTCAAAATTTTAACAGAGCGTGGCGAGGGGTGAGTATTCTGACAGAGAAACCCAAACGAATAGGTTTAATTAATCATTGGCTTGCCATCCATGTAGCTTGCTCACAATGAAGGTTGGTTTCCTATATGTCGGTGGTCATGATGCACCCTTCGGACGGATGCAAAAGCTGACGAAGGAGATTCGAGACTTGGACAACAGGATCGTTGAGTGCACCATGAATCAGTACGGCAACTGGGAGTTTATGCGCGAGCGAACGGACAAGAAGCAACCCAACAGTTATAATACAGCCTGCTGTAAGTAGTAATCCTTAGTGATAGTGAGATTTTGTAATTATATTGGAAAAACCATTTCAGCCGTTGTGGAGAGTATAAGGCAACCCGTTACTAAGGAATATTTGCTAAACTATATCGCGAGCTTTGGATTTCGTGATGACCATGCCATGATGCCGCCACCGCCCAATTCCCATGGCCATCCACATGGCAATCCACATGCCCATCCGCATGGCAATCCCCATGCCCAGCCACATGGCAATCCCAATGCCCATCAGCATGGTAATCCTCATGGCCAACACCATGGCGGACAACAAGGACAGCGACGGCCCCACTAAGCGTATGCAGCTAGCGCACCTCACGCCTCATATCTCCATCTCACCATTGAACCCGACACTAGGAAATTAAACAGCCCCTAATAAATATAATTCAAAAAAAGAGAATTACACAAAACTCTGTGTTGGCCGAAAAAAATGTTCGAATTATATGATTTTTTGGTTTAGTTGGACTTTTAAACGATTGTAGCCTTTGATAGTAGCTGACGAGTATTCCATTAAGTTATATTTTATCTTAACAAGATCAAATTAGCCCAAACGATAAATAATTGCTTAAAATGCTCTTAATTAACTGACTTTTTAAATTAAATGTATAAAATATAAAAAAATTTCGTTTAAATTATTTGTAAATTCATGAACGTTTTAAAAGTATTAAATATTAGAAACATTTCAACTATGCAGCCGTAACTTTATATGGTTTTCTTTTATTAAGAAAATAAAAATAATATGAACCCATGGGATAAAGTCCAAGTAACACTGTAACCACTGTCAACATTTAAGGCAGCCAAAAGCAAACAATTAAAGTTCAGACATAGCCTACTAGGAGGTATTTACACAAAATTACCTATAGATTCTGTACGCTTGTCAATTGAGTAGACTACCATTATCGCGCAAAACCTCTGCCTCCAGCTGGCCAAGATGGAGGAGGGCCACCAGAGCGGCTCCCTGTTCTGCCTGTTTCTTGTTCTTCTCCCAGAACGAACTACTGAAACGTTGGCCATCATAGGTGCAAATGGACCGGAATAGTTTGTCGCACTGCTGTGTTTCATAGGCAGGCGGGGATTTTCCTTCCCTTCCTGCATGAACATACAACTGCGTCTTAGGCAGATGGTTATCTAAGAGCGAAGCATAAGGTATAAGTATTCCGTACACAAATGTGATTCTAGAATCTTACCACTTGGATAGGTTGAGCGAAGAAAAGGCATGTTTCGGCAAATAACGCCTGCATAATCATCCAAAATAGCTGTTTCAGCCTCCTCCAACTTTTGTCGCTTGGCCTGCGCCTCTGGCGGCTCAACTTCGGCCCGTCCTGAGTTGCCTAGCGTCTTTAGCTCCTTCTGCTTCCGACGACAATAGTCGCCCAATTCCCAAATCTCGCAGATCTGCTGCAGCGTCTGGCACTGAAGGAAACGTTTACCCCGTGGGGTCTCCTGCAGCTCCCTGAGGATGCTCTGCACACAGTATTTTGAATTGTGCGGCGCGTTGTCGTAATCAACGCACAGGCGCAGGTATTTTTCAATAAGCTCGTCCATAGGCAGTAGGCCCTCTGGCCGAAAGATGCTTACGTTGATCTGAGCGGCACGAGCCACCATTACGCTGGCGGCGCCACATTCCACCTGGAACTTCCGCAAATCTTCGTAGCAGTGCATGTTCTTCGAACCGCCATTGGCGATGATTGGTATATCCACTGCCTGGGCAACAGCCCGCAGAACTTCTGGATGGGCAGGATGCTGAGGACGCTCGTCTCGCGTCCTGGCATGAATGCCAATGGCTGCTATTCCTGTGGCGGCCAACTTTTGCACCAAGTCAATGGTCCCTTCTACGTCCGGCAGAATGCGTATTTTACAGGTGACTGGAATGTCTAAGCCAGAGCAAAGAGTACGCAGAATAAGTGCCGCCTTGTCGGGATCGGAAAGCAGGGCAGCGCCCATTCCGCCCTTTATGGAGAACTCTTTGGGGCATCCCATATTGATGTCTAATCCGGATATGTCGCGCTGCAGCAGCTTCCCCACGGCCAGAGCCCTTCCAGCATCGCTGGTGCCCATTTGCAGAACCAAACGGGAGGTCTCTTGGGCGCAAGTACGGAATACAATCGTGCCATCCGATGGATCCACAAAGTCCACCGTTCCCAGGGCATCTTTATGGATAGACGGGATGAATTAGATGGAAATTGAATGCCTTCCGGGGCAATTTACGTACGATTTGGCCTGCGAATGCTCTTGATCAGCTTAAGGTCTACTAGCTCTTCTGTGTAAACGATATCCGCACCCATTTCCAAGGCCAAGAGTCGCATGGGCAGCGTGCCAACGCGCACCATTGGCGCCAGGATAAGTTTGTTGCGGTAGTCCAGCCTCTGACGCGTCTTCATGCTGAACTTCCTCAAAATCGTCGGCAATCGTAGCATGGATTGGAATCGGATCGCGGATTCAGCTGTTGCACGCCGTTAAATTGGGATGGCTAGGAACGTAACGACGAGGCGACCCTTGCACGAGACAGCAGACCAGCATTCAATGACGATTTTGAAATAGCATAATGATTCTTATATGCAGTTTCCACTACTCCTGAAGGTTACACTTTTATAGAACATCCAAGACCATTTAGATAACCATCTTTTATAAACTATTAATAATACAATTATGTATTAAATCGAAATTCGATCATAAGATTACACGTTAGCCAACACGGAAAAGCCTATCGATAAGAATGATAGGCTCAGTCTTTATATCGATAACAGTATTGTTTTTGTCTTTTAAACAAGCCAAAATTTCTTTTGTTTTGCCAGTGAAATCACTAAATAACCGCGAAACGTCAAAAGATTTATCAAAAGTACAGACACCCCCGCTTAGCTATAGAGGTGGACAAAGGTCAGAGTTCAGCGGACAACGGATAAAGCAAAAGCGTGGCGCGAATAAAGCTGGAAACTAAAGAGGATTCCGCAACTGACCATTAATTGGATTAGCGTCACCACTAGCATCGACGAAAAAGCGGGAGCAAGGGCCATTAAGGTCTGGCACAGCAACGTGACCGAACCCAGGTGGTCCTAATTCAAGGGCAACCCAGGGACAGGACAAGCTCAAGGACCATAATTAACCTTGGAATTGAGGAGTCGACACCCACAGCCACAACATTCAGAGGTACATCAGCAACAGAAATCCTTGGACACGACGATACCGGCAAGCAGAATCAGTGGCATCGGCAACATCAACGACTCTGGCTTGGTTATGCCCATCGCCTGCCCTGGTACGCGGGCCGGGAACTGGGACTCGGGCGCTGCCTGCAGTCCATCGACACGCTGAGGCTTACATACGGCCAACGCCCTCAGCAGCTGGCGCTGGCCATGTCCTTGCTGGCATACGGCGAACACGGGGAGTCCAGCGACACGGACAGTCCCGCAGAGGCGGACGCCTTTGTCGACTTTACGGCCATGCTACGGCAAAGGCAGCGGGAATACGGCTGGTTTGGTTGCGGTAGCAAGATGCAGTCGGAGCAGTCCGACGAAGGCTACTACCTGGAGCAGTATGTCCTAGGAGTTCTCGACTTCAGCTCGCAGTATGGGATCGATTATAGCATCTCGTATACGGCAGCAAATGTGATTGGCAGGCCAACCAAATTCCCCGCCTACGGCGACTTTCCGGAGACTTTTCCCATGGTGAGTCCGTTTGGCCCATGCAGAACGACCCGTTTAGAGTTTCCCTTCAACTCTCGCCCGCAGCGCACCTACGGCGACTGGTGGCAGCGGGCTCCGTCGGCCACACGGGAGATTCAGCCCCAGAATCTGCCAAAGCTGGAGACACACGATTATATTGGTAAGAAACTTGAGCACTCTTTTGGGTATAATAACCTATATAGATGCACTGTTTATCCATTTTAGTTGTGGACTTTGAGGAATTTGTGGTGCCGACAGAAGTAGCCATCTTTGAGACCTTCAATCCAGGCGCAGTAGTTCGCATTTGGGCTTATGGTCTCACCAAACACTGGACATGTCTGTGGGAGGCAACGGAAAGTGATTTAGCACGACCAAAGTTGGATTCGCGTCGCTTTGCTCCGGCTCTCAAGAAGACCACGATGGTAACGAAGTAAGTGTCCTTAAAGAAATCAATTAAAAGCAGACCTTTACAAAATAAATCCGTCTTTTTGTCAGAACGTTGCGCATCGACTTTAATCATAGCCAACTGAACTACTACACGGAGATCGATGCCATCATGCTGTGCGGCCGGACGGTATCCAAAACCCAAAACCTTTTAGTTAAGCAGCATCAGCTAAAACAACAGTTGCAAAGCCGGACGCTGGTATCACCGCAACCAGAAGCTGTCGGAACTCCTACTCCTTCCGATGGCAAAGGCGGGTCCATAAGCAATAAGCTGCGCACGTTAAAATTCCAGCCGAACTGCGGCGAAAATGGTGCCACCAAGTTGCATGATTTTATCAACAACGATCTGAGCCAGTTCCTAATGGACAATCGTGTGGAGGGCGCGGAGAAGCCGTCACGAATCTGCCTTACGGATCTGCCATTTGAAATCCTTCTGCGCATACTTAGCTACCTGGATCTGAAGTCTTTGTTCCGTGTGGGCCAAGTATCTCGCACCTTCTATGACATCTCCACACATCCGCTTCTGTATGCCGAGCTTAGTTTGAAGCCCTACTGGCATGTGGCCAGTTCAGAGCTGCTGTGTACGCTGGCCCGTCGGGCCACCATGTTGCGTAAGCTGGATCTATCATGGTGCGGCGGTCTCGGTAATGTCTCGCCCACCGAGTTCAAAAAGTGAGTTAAGAAATGAAATACTAATCTTATTAAGATTATTTATACAATCACTCTTCCAGATTTCTGACCCAACGCGGCGATAATCTTACCCACCTGCGGCTGAACTCCTGCAAATTCCTCAATGCCAGCTGCATTGAGAACGTGGGCATAGTCTGTGATAATCTAATAGGTTTGATTTTCGTCTCCAGCCTTGAGTAATTAATAAATTATATACATTTTAACAGAGTTGAGCCTGCGCAACTGCGCTACTGATCCGCCGCTGCTAAATTTCTCCTGTCTAGCCAATCTCAAGAATCTGGAGCGTCTTGATCTCTTCCAGACGGCCTTTGAAACGGAATTGCTGCTCAGCATGCTCGAGGGCAACCGTAAACTGAAGCACCTGAATCTTGGTAAGCAAAAGATTCAAAACTCGTGTAAGCATTTTATGTATTATATATTTCCTCAGCATTCTGTGGTGTTTCGGTGAATATGGACAATGTGGCCGCCCATTTGGCCACGTATAATACGCAGCTGATATCTTTGGACTTGTGGAAGGCGCACTTCCTCTCAGCCAGAGGCCTACAGTCGCTGGCTCGCTTGCATCAGTTGGAGGAGCTCGATTTGGGCTGGTGGTAGGTTCTACTTCATAGAAATCCCGATTCCTTTATTAACCTTGAGTTATGATGTGTTATTATAGCCTGAGGGAGGCATCGCTAGGAGATGGCCTGTTCCAGCTGCTGACCAATTGTCCGAAATTGAAGAAACTGTTCTTGTCAGCGGTGCGAGGAACCACCGAACGCGATCTCATGCATATTGCCGCCTTGGGCAAGAATTTGGAGCAACTGGATCTCATGGGCATTCTGAACATAACACATGAGCGGATTTATGAGTGGGTGTTTTTTATTATCGTTTATGGATTGATTATCTAAACATTTGATTTTGTTTTAGCATTCTGGTTCACTGTCCCAAGCTTCAACTGCTTGACCTGAGTTTTTGCGATAACATCGTGGATCGGGATGTAAGTAAACCAAGAAAGATGTAGCATACATATAAACCTAATACTTTTTATCCTTCAGTACGATCTGTTGTCGGAATGGTCACGTTTATTTATCGTGGACATCAAGATTAGTCGGCATCACTAGCCCGGAAATGGGGACAATGGAGTCCAGTCCTGATAGCTAATATCCTTAGTACCATGATAAGTGTACTTTTAGATTCTATATATGTCACTCTCTATCTGTTTTTAGTAAAATGTTATCTACGTACTGTTAAAACTATGGAAAATTTGATATTAAACAAAGTGATTTTTTAATCACTTAACTTAATGCTGAATATAAGATTCATATTAAAGTTGTGGGAAAGAAATGAGAAAAAATAATATTTTTTTAAAATAGATGTTCTGGATTTTATAAGAAATAAATAAAAATGTATTACTACATTTTTAAAATAATCAAATTGTTTTGCATACTAGCACTGTTCAACACTGTTACCCAAGGGGATAATTTCAAATATATATCTTTATCAGTCAATTTTAAATCATAAAAACGATTTTATGCGTTATTACTATAAATTGGATTACTATTTACCTACAAATTCCATTTTAGATATAATTCATTTTTAAAATTTTTGAATATAACAGCATTGTTATCAAATTCTGCTTGTAAACAATCCACTTTCCATTCGATATACACTAGAATATTTGTCATCTCTAAATAAGAACATTACTCAACACTGTCGTCAACTGCAGATTTTCCAATAAGAAGCAGTAGCGCTGTGCGCTTATCTAAATAACTTCCTAAATTTAATTAGTTGCTGACGAAGTACAAAAAAAACTTAAAATCGGAGCAAGGGGAGGTACTCTGTGTGACAGATGACCCAGCTCCTTGGCCAAGCGAAGGCAGCAAGAGAGAGCGAGAGTGGGGAAGTATCACCGCCAGCTGTGTAGCAGCAACAATAACAAGGCAGTAACGAGGTCGCAGGACCAAAAAAAGGAGGAGGTGGCGCAGGAGCAGGAGGTGTGTAAGTATGTGTGTACCCTTGAACAGCAGCCGCCCACCAGCACCCCTTGCGCCTATAATAACCAGCCACGCCCACTGGGCACGTACACATCGTTTAATTGCGGTGAATTATTGATGTGGCTCTTGGCTTTTGCGGGTGTGTCCGACCATCTATGGAGTTGCTAATCTATTGGGCTTTCATTTCAATATCTATTACGACCAGTAACCCGCAGCCATGCGCTTTAACAAGCCGGAACTGAACACCCTGGCCAGCAATCCAGCAACTCGGTTCGACAAGGAGGGCCTGCTTATTATAACCGACCGCCAGGAGGGCTTCCTGTGGCGTTCTAGCGAAGGTATGAATAGTTGATTGTACTCACCCGCATTCACTCGCATCCATGCATGCACTGGCACCTGCACCCACATCCTAGAGCCACCTGCACACAAATGAATCCTGTCCAGGCACTTGGCTTATGCACACTTCATTCTCCCGCCCACAGTCAGAGTTGAACGTTGGTGTAAACTGCGTGGCAATTTACTGTTCTACCTCAAGGATAAGGACCCCAAGTCAGCAATAGCCGGCCTCCTGGTGCTGGAGAACTGTCGCCCGCGGATCCAGAATGAGGAGCGTGATCCCGAGGGCTTCGTTTTCGACCTAGGTAAGATTAATATGCATTTAAATTATGAGTGTAATACTAATAATTACTATTTTTCCTACCTGTGGACAGACTTCAAGGACAGCTCATCTGAGCGTTTCATTACACGTTCGTCGGCCGAACGTTTGGCCTGGGTGCAGTGCATCGAACAGGCCTCCAGTGAAAAACTTAACGTGCTTATCCGACAGCTTAAAGATCAGATCGTTTCCCAAAGTCGACAGCTAAACGTAGGAACGGAAATGGGCAATCACATTGATCTGGGGATGCCATTGGAGCAGCAAGTGCAGGACCAACTGCAGCTGCAGGGACCGCCCGCTGAGGAGTCGCCAGCGCCTGCAACGATGGAGGTGGTGGCGGCGCCGTTTGAAGGTGATCTTATACAGTTCTAACCCAAAAACCAAACAATCCGGAGGCGTGCGGAGGTCGTTATTGTTTTTAGTTTTGTTAACCAAATATCCACATATTTACCTATGCACTATTCCACCTGCACACCAATACTCCTCTCGCTCACTTTCATGCACCCACATCCGGTAAACTGTCATTGGATTCCATATTGAGCAACTAAATACGCTTCATTCGCAAACATTCTGCATATATATTGTTAAATTTTGTATGTTGTATCCGCTAAATCTAATCGTAATCGGATGTGGGATGTGCGATTGATTTAATCGAAACTAATGGTTTCCATATCTCCATTTTCGAATTTATATGTTGTATATTTATGTGTAATCAAAAGGGGAATTGGAGGTGGAATTTAATCCATGTGATGGAACTGCAAGAAAAATAATGAATTTATTCTTGGAATAAACTTTGTTTTGCTAATGAATTTAAACGGAATTAACGTGTTGTTTGTTATTCAATTTCTCCTGCTTTAGCTCTGCCCTGCCGTTCGGTGCTGTTCCTTCGGATCCCTCCACTGTGATCTTACCTGGTCTACTTTATTTCTTACAGAACTTGATCTCTCGGAGCTGCCCATTTGCGAGACGGCCCTCTCCTGTGATACACTGCCCTTGGACACGATGGGCCGATCGCCCAATCCACAGGTCGTATGCTCACTGCTGCCAACGGCTGGAGAAGATTGCCTGTGGCGGGAGCATGCCCGCACAGAGCTGCAGGAGCGCACACGTAGTCCTCAATTCCTATGCACGATGCGCTTCCAGCGCAGTGCTGGATTCTCGGCAAGCACACGCCTTCGGTTCAGTGTTTTCGATGTCCGTGAACGGATGACACTCACCGCACTGCCGCTGGGTCACGCTGAGGTGGCTCTGGGTGTCATTCAGGACACCACCCGACTGCGTCTGCCACTCACATCGCCGCGCGGTGAATGTGGCTTTATTACACTCGCCTCCTGGTCCCCCGATGCAGCCGTAGAGCCTGGTCAGTCAGGGAATGGACCACCGCGTTCCAGCACTCAGCTATTTGATGGATCGGGAACCGCTTCCGGAGCAACCACCAGACGAGGTGAGAGTGCCTTATTTATTGTACGGTGTCCTTACTAACCCAAATGTGCACAGCGCATCGTCGCACCCAATCGCTGCCGCCAAAGCTAGGAGTCCGGCTGTTTGTGCCTCAGCAATGTGGCTTGCAGCGTGTGTGCTCCAATCCTCGTTTGCGCACATATCGGCTGCATTCTTCCCTTGGCGCGGACATCAGTGTCCAGGAGACGCTGCTGGAGTCCCGCCTGTGTTGTCAGCTACCACAGCAATTGCTTTCAATCTGGATCCAGCGTGAGAAAGAGCTGCTGCAGGAGATCTCAGGAATGGGCGAACTGAGTGGCGAGTGGCGATGGCGGCAAATGAATCTGCTCGAGGAGCACTTACGCCTGCTCAAGGATTATTCACAGGCAAAACAGAACATTCAGCAGCTGGCACGCGATGGTGTTTTCTTTAAGCGATCTTCGGCAAAGGCAGACGAGTCGTTGGAGTTTTTGCCGGTGAATCTGCATGTGCAACGGATGTGGGCCCAGAATGACACCTTGCAGCGAAGAGGCCTGTTGGACGTGGTTACCGTAGGTGCCTTTACACGTCACGATGCCAAGGGTCGCAAGTGCGGTGGACTCATCAAGTAAGTCGAATATACATATGTATCTTCAAGATACATAAGATATATATCTATAAGATACATATATGTACATGTATCTATAAGATACATAATCTTTCTTAATCGTATTTTAGACTTCTTCAGGAGAGCAAGTCTTGGAAACTGGAGCAAAGCAACGCGTGTAAGGTGCAGGCTGCCAATGATGCCGTCCAGGCCACCAAGCAGCTGCGCAAGGAGATCGTCGAATTGATGTCGCAACTGCTCCAGTTGGCCAGTCGTCGAAGTTCAAAGGATATGATGCCGCTGTGCAACCAGATGGTGGCCCGCACTCGTACGCTGCTCAACATCTGGGAGCCGAGCATCGTGGAGGAGGCAGTTGCCTTCATCGAGCGCCATCGGATCATCGAGGAACCCGAGAACGTGCTGATGGAACCGATGTCGCCATTCCGTAAGATCACCCAGCAACTGACGGCACTAGAACTGAAGTCCCCGGAGCTGGAGGACTTTGCTACGCCGGTAGTAGCGCCACCAGATCTTTGGCCACGTGGTCAGCCGCCGCTAATGCGTTCCAACAGTTGGCACCCAAGCAATAGTTCTCCATCCAGCTCGCTAGATATCCGGGCCATCGATTCGTTGCAGCATGTGGTCAAGTGCTACAACGATCATCTGCGCAATCTGGAGCAGGGAAGGAATCCTCGTCAGGCTGAAGAAGAGGAGGCAACATATCAGTCATTGCCGCTAGCGTGGCATTCTCAATCTGAGCCCACTACTTCCACCCAAATCCCAGAAACGGCAGCTGCACCATCAGTACTGCAGCTAATCGACCTGGATGAGATTGGACGACAGGCGAAGCGGCAGCAGCATCAACAGCCACCGGCAGGTTTCTTGGACACCAAACTGATGAGCTCATCGCCGTCTGCCAACTATTACAGGCCCACGGAAGAGCCGGAGCCTCTGGATCTCACCCAGCTGAATATAGAAGCAAGCGTGATGTGCCTCGTTAGCAAGCTAAAGTTCTTTTGTGGACGCTGCGACAGTCCGGCGATACGACTACGTCATCCAAAGGCGCCAGTCAAGCGAGAAGGATTCGCGGTGGCACCGCAACAACAGGCACCGGACGTGATTGCCGCTCCATCAGCCGGAAAACAGGCACCGAATCTCGAACTGGATCTCAAGCCATCGTCAGCGGAAAGTGGTGGTTCAAGTGCCGGATCTGTCCCTGTGACTGTTAAGAAGGGCAACAAGTTCACCGATGGTCTGGATCTTTCAATGACCACGGATTGGGCTGCGGAACTTAGACCCAGCATGCGTAAACTGCGCCATGCCATGGACCGCCTGTTGAAGACTGCCCGACTGATGCACTCGGTGCAGCGGCTACAGCAGGATATGCGATGCAATCGGCTCCAGGCAAGCATAATGTATCGCAGGGATGTCTGCTTTTCCCAGGCGGTAAGCTTATTTTTGTCCTTCAATTTCCATGCTTAACTCCGTTTCATTTCCAGCTAACTGCTCTGGTCAGCTCTCTGATGCTTCGTTTGTGGGGCAGCGAACTGGACATGGGCTACCTGGTGATGCTCCGTGATCTAGGGCCGCTAGCCTATTTTGAGGGCCTTCTTACGCTGTACGGCAACGAGGCGGACATGTGGAGCGACATGTGCATCGCTATTGAAGATTTGTCCGCAGTTAGTTTCCAGTTAGTGCGAGCCCAAGGCGAGGCAGCTCTGTCGCCGACGCCGCGGATCACTGGATCGCGACAGGCACTGGAGGTTCAGCTCCCTGTACCGGAGCACTCTTTGCCCGGCAACGGCACCTCCATTTCGTTCAAGATCACACCCGTCTTCTTTAACATCGGCATCAACGAAAAAGCCAGCTTTGCCGAAACGCTGGGTCAGACAAGGGAACAGCATCGCTCAAATTGGGATAATTATCTGCGTTTGAGTCAGTACTTCGGAAGGTATCGGAAGCTGGGACTCGGTTCTGTGGACGCCGGCGAGTCGCTGCAGTCGCTCCTTGGATTTATGGAGCAGCAGTTGCGAGCCAATGTTTCCAAGAACGTCAAGATTCTGCACTTGGCTGAGGATGCCTGCCGGCTTATGGACGGCCTGCGGTTCACCTCCTGCAAGAGCGCCAAGGATCGAACTGGAATGGCGGTGACCCTGGAGCAGTGTCGTGTCCTGGTGCGCGAATTCCAACTGCCGGCGAAACATGTGCCCTATGCACTAAGCACCATGCGAAGGTAAGTTTGGAAATCGAAATAAAACTTTAAATATATATTTATCTATTTGTAAATTGAATTACAAATACTAAGCTACGAAAAGGAAGGTAAACTTACTAAACCATGTCATCTTCTTGAATCTCATTTCAGTGAGGGAACACGCATGGACAACGTTCTCAAGAATATTGGGAAGCGAAAGTATGCCTTCAATCGAACTCAGGTATCTTTTCTGCCGGCCATGTACAGGCCGCCAGTTGGCAGCTACGGCAAGGCGCAGACTTAGGGATTTCCACTGGTGATCCCTGTCCGAATTGTCCGAATTGAAAAGCAGTCAAGTACTTAATAAAAAGAAAAATGAGTTGGACGACTAAGGGTCATCCGAACACAGAGATATATCAGCAAAGCAAAGTAAAACAAAAACGTATAAAACTGTGCCAAAAAATACAAAACAAACAAATTTAACCAATTTTGCGCGAGGCAAGCAAAACAAACAAACGATTAAGTAAATGAATGTAATACATAGGTAACTAATTAAATTAGCACATTATGGAGAATCTTCCGGACAATTGTTAAGCATCACACGATTCCAATTCCGATTCCGCTACTATATATCCTTCCCCTTCCCATATTTATTTAGGCTATATCCATCTATGTAGTTGTAGTTTGCAGACGAGGCAACCGTGTACTTTAGCGACTCATGTACTTCCAGTGAATAAAAAAAAACAAACTTGTTAACCACTATTAGACACAAACTTAACAACGTCGATTTCCTAATAGTCCTGCACCCGTCCGGTGCCTAGACGTTCCTTCCGGATTTCGGTCTTCAGCCACGACGGCACATTGCGTATGGGATGGGCATTGGGAAACCGAAGCGGCTGCTCTGGTCCATTAAAAGGATGCGTCTTAGCCAGCTTGCGCTCTAGATATTCCTTGTTAAGCTGCTTCTGGTCGCGATGTTTGTCCATGTAAAGATTAAAGGGCTGCTTCAGCGGGAAGAATTCCTGGTCGGCCAGATAAGGCTTGGGGAAGTCGTACTCATAGACGGGCTCCTTTCTCTCTGCGTGTTAGATTCGAAATATGAGAGTAAAATCCCATTTGACATCTATCACTTAACTTACTCAAGACATCATGGTAGAATTGTGTCAACGATTCATCCCAGTTGGTCTGATAGAAGGCCAGACCAGCCGGCGTCAACTGGTCCTGGTGCTGACGATAGAAGTCTAGAGTGCTGAAGGTGCGCTTCTCAAGGTTATTGTAGTCTGTGTCGGCCAATTGGTAAGATCCCAGATCCAGACGTTCTTGCTGCTTATAGAGTACGAATACCATTCGTTGGTAACCCACGCCACGAGGTGGGAACGGGGGTAGGTACTCTGCGATGACCTGGCCCTCGCTTACCTTGCCGTTGGGTATGTTGGCACTGAAAAAAGGAAAGCTATTAGCCAAGAAGCAAGCAAATAGTCGTCAGATATTACATGAACCAATGCAGGCACTCCGCCGCCCCATTTGTGTAGTGCGCATCGGGATTGGTAGCAACCAAGGTCCAGAAAGTGTCCTGGCCAGCGGGCTTTCCCGTGATGGGATCTAGTAACCCATCGAAGCTGATCTGGGGTGCCTTGGCCGCCTCTGCTGGCTTGATAACGTTGCCATTGTAAACGGGGGCCAGGCTATCACCGTCCAGGTTGTAGCTTATGTTGAGTGGCACTCGGGGCACAAAGTAGGCACTGCCGAAAAGGTGCTCAAAGATGCCGTAGTGGTCTGCGAGCAATCGCAGATCGTGCTGACCTGTGGTCTTCACATAAGTGCTCTGTACCTTATCCAAATCGATGATCACTAAAGAAACATAATTAGCAGTAGTAGGCACATATTCCCCAGATTGTTACTTACGTTTGTTGCTGCGTGCCAGCTTCTCCAGTTCCTTGCTGGTCCTCTGCGCCTTCAGGTGTTCCAATCGCGTCTTCAGCTGCGCCGATCGCGATTCCTTCAGCTGTGGGAAGCCAATGTTGATGCGGGCCACCACCTCTGGATCTGTTGCGGTCTCCTCTGTGGGAAAATATCAGTGATACGTTAAAATATATGTGAAAAATGAACCGGAATGGTTACATCAACTCACCTCGCACTCGCTGCTCCAGTGTACGGGCCACGCCGGGTGGCTTGCCACGGATGGTGTGTCCTTGCCGGGTGGAGGTGATCAGGATGCTGACCGGGGCACTACGAACGCCCGGACTCAGACCGCTTTTAATTAACAAATTACTGAAAGACATGGTGTTTTGTAATTTGCTTCCAAGGCGGCTCGCGTTTTTCTAGCGTTGCCAGATTGAGGACGGAAGATGCGGTATCGATATATTCGAACTGAACTTGCAGACGTTAATGTCATTGGAAACACATCGATAGTATCGGAATTTAAATTGTATGTTTTAAATTTTTAAATTTGGAAATTAATAAAAAAAAAAATTAAAAAAAATTAAATTATTTGAATTTACAAATATTTCATTCTGATAAAAACGTAATTAATAGTAAAATGGTTGGACCTGAAATTAATTCGTTATAGTAATTTATAAGGACATCAGTATAAATAGTAGGCATTTTGGAATGCGAGGAACTTTTTGCATTAATAAAGGTATCGTAAAATATGGCAAAATGGCAGCACAGATCGCCCTGGAATCGATCAACTGTTTCTTGAGCTGAGCTTTCTAACGGTCGTTAAGTTACGGTTTGCTGGTCGGGCAACGTGCATCAACTAAAGTGGATTAAAATGTATCTGGTGCACAGGTTGGTCCTTCTACTGCTGGCTGGGCTTTTGGCAACTGTCAGGGCAGAGGATTTGCTGGAGTTGTCCTGCAGCTCTGATGCACAGTGCGCGCAATTCGAACGGGGTCGCTGCCTGGATACGGTATGCGCCTGCACGGCACGTGGTTCCGGTGAGCGGGTGCCCTGTTCGCCGCTGGAGAAGAAGTTGACCAACTTTATTGGAGGTTCCTGCCCCTGCCCCATGCCCAATGCAGCGTGTCATTCCCGGTGGGAACAGTGCCTTTGTGCTAAGGGTTATGTTCCCAGCGGTGACCACAGACGCTGCCTGCCAGAGGTAGTCCACTTGGGCGGTTTTTGTGAGCTCCATCGGCAGTGCCAGCTGGCGGACCGCTTTAGCTCCTGCACCGGTGGCCAGTGCGTCTGTCCCAATCACTTTGAACCCCACGAGGGCCAATGCCTGGCTGTATTACGTGAGTACATTATGGGAAATATTAGATCCCCAATGTAGTATCTGAAAACCCATTTCTACTTCTTTTAGAATCAAGCTGCCTTCAAGACAAAGATTGTGGCAGCTGTGGAGCCTCAATTTGCCTGACCAATGTGAAGAAGTGCGGCTGTGCCAAGAATTTCGTTCACAACCACAATATGACCAAGTGCATCTCGGGATCGGCTTACGGTGACAGCTGCGAACACAGTTCCCCGTGCAAGGTAACTCTGGGTGCCGATGGCCAGTGCCGGGATCATTTATGTGAGTGCCGCACATCCCACTACCCCAAAAGGGTAGCCAATGAAGTGGCCAAGGATGAGGAAGAAGTAGATGCCAATCAACGGGAACGAATCATTTGTGAACCAATCATTCCTTTTGGAGCACTCTGTCGACACGATGGTGAATGCCGGATGCAGTTTTTGGAGCAAACAAATGTAACGCAGCCCCCTGCGATGGTCTGTAATTGGGGTGAGTGCTCCTGCAGTGCGACCCATCGACTGGAGGACAACGAGTGCATCTTTGTGGAGAATCGATCCATACATCATCGACTAGCAGGCTTCATGGCCCTTCTCTGTCTCCAGTTTACAATGATTCTTTATTAGGGTATAGAAAAAAAACATGTGAAACTTACATACATATATGAATAGATCGAACGCTTTTCACAGAGATCTCTTTGGGTCCAAGATCTCTGGGAGCTGCTCAAAGGCCAATCCTGGCGGGCGTGCGACGGGGCGTGGCATTTCCCGGTGTGGCAATCTCCTGCTTGGCGGCTAACTGCTCCTCTCTCTCGGCCGCCTGCTGCTTGCGTTCTTCCATCTCGTGCTGTGCTTTTAACATCTGCTCCTCCATCTCCTTGAGATGTTCAGCGGCCTGTTTTTTCTTCTCCCTACCGCTACGACCGGACTCCTTGACGGAGAAGAACATGGGACCCAGCTCGGCGAGCCAATAGCCATCGACCGCCGTGGCGCACTGCATATACTCCTTGGCAGTCATAATCAGCTCATGATAGACTACATAATCGGGCGTGGTGCCCAGACCATATAGTGCGGACGTGGGGTGCAAGTGACAAGGCATACCCGTACGCAAATTAACATACTCCCCTATACCCTTGAGCCTTGCCGCCTGATAGAAGTACGCCGAGCAGATGCACTTGCGCACGATGTCCCAGTCGGTGCCACAGCTCTTTACATTTAGGTTCTGCTGCGTCATTATGTCCTTCAGCTGCTGCCGCACCTCACGAACCTTTCGCATCGCCTTGATGTGGATAAAGTGTTCATTGCACCAAGACGAACTATAACTGTGGGCGGATGATAAGATTAATTATTTCTGTCTAAGTTTAGCGTCTGTTCGTTGACTTACTTATTTTGGCGCCACTGCTGATACACATTGAGGTAGGTTAAATGATCGGATTCGGGCACTTGGAACTTCTCTCGAACGCCATCAGCCTCTTCCTCGCGACCCTTCGGTCGGTAGAAGATCGAGGGCACGGACAACATGGAAACTATAATCAGCACCTCGGCACTGCATCCAATGCGACAAGCGACGATCAGCATCTGGCACTGAGGCGGATCGAGCGGGAACTCGGCCATCTGACGTCCAAGAGTGGTAAGAGCGCCCGTGTGGTCAAGGGCCCCAAGGATCCACAGTTGGTACAGCGAGTTCAAAATGTTGTCCTGGGGCGGCGGGTCCATAAAGTGGAACTGCAATAGATCGACGACACCCAGTGACTTTAGAAGCAACACTGTGTTGGCCAGATTTGTGCGCTGAATTTCGGGCACTGTAAGGGCTAGCAGTTCGTCCTTGTACTGGCGCTGCGTGTACAGCCGGAATGCCTGGCCGGGACCTGTACGTCCCGCTCGACCGCTCCTCTGATTAGCATTAGCCTGCGAAATGGGATAGATCTGAAGGGCATCCATACCGATGCGAGGGTTGTAAACCTTTAGCTTGCAGTAGCCAGAATCGATTACGTAGATAATGCCGTCGACTGTGAGCGATGTTTCCGCAATATTCGTGGCCACAACGCACTTGCGCACCCCATCGCCAGATTTCTGAAAGATCTTTGCCTGTAGATCCGATGGCAGTTGGGAATAGATGGGCAGGATACTCAACTGCGGTGCATTATCGATCTCAGCCAGCCGCTCTTCGAGAACCTCGCACGTCACCTCAATGTCCTCCTGGCCAGGCATAAAGATAAGCATATCGCCCTCGTTGGGCGTGAGATGAACCTGCAGCGCCTGTTTCACTGCCGATTCCACATAATCCTCGCAGGTGTTCTTACTGAACATCACGTCCACGGGAAATGTACGTCCCGGTATGGTAAATGTGGGTACGTTGCCAAAGAAGGTTGCAAACTTGCTGGAGTCCATTGTGGCGGAGGTCACGATCAGCTTTAGGTCATGTCGTCGGGCCACAATCTGAAAGGAAATGTCATAATTCCTTAGTACTTCAATAACTTTAAAGTTTAAAACCTATTTATATTAAGATTCTAAGGGAAAACATAACAAATGGAAGGGGTTATAGCTGTACTCTCCGCATGGGGTTTTTGTAATGGAGCAGTGGGGTTCATAAAGCACGGCTAACAGTTACAAATGTGACCCACATCCGGGCCAGCTTTGCTTTGCTGTCGTTGACCCTGCAGTGGGTCAAGGCGTCTCCCTGGCAAGGCGCTCTATGAAATGTAATAATTTCGGCTAGAAGTTACCCAGGGATTGATTAGGTTAGCTTATTAGGTGAAGGAAAAACAATATATGTATATATAATATATACAAATATTCAAAATGTTAACAGTTGCAGTGGATTCTTAAAAAATTGGAACTGAAAATTATACATTAATCAATTATATATATAAATTTCTGGTTTACATCTTCATTCATTCAGAAATCTTTTAAAAAGTGTTTAGTACAAGTTTCATTTTTCAGTATTAGATATTTATAAATAAAAAATAATATCCCCCTTTACTTTACAAATGCTGGATACGAAATCCTCGAGATTCGTCTAGTTGTTCTCGTAAATTCGTTCGGCGAGTCCTGCCTCCACGACCAAGCAAGAGGATGTGACAACATCACGAGTGAGCGAACTCACCACACCAAAAAAGGATAAAACAGAAACAAAGAGAGCCAACGAGATGGTTCGGGCTTATAGACTTCGGGTTCAGCACTCATGGTGAATTTCCTTGTTCGTGCGTTTGGTTTTCGATTTCGAGAGGGCTAAAGATGGGGTGAGGTGAGTTCAAGGCGGACGTGCTGACACACACGTAGGCACTTTTAAAGAAACCCAAGCGAATCGGTTTTAAATTTGAGCTTTGGAGATTTTCTTTTATATGATAGATGTTGATTATATGCTTATTAAAATAACAGTTTTAGGCAAATATTGAAGTATTTAGAATAAATCCTGATCTGAATAAAGCATGAACCCAAGGATACTCTCGACAAATACCAGCATATTCATTCCACTATAAAGTTCAAGCAATCTCAATCGTTTTTCGAATGAAACGGTCTAACCACTTTGCTTCATCTGACCTCACCCAATATCCGTAACCTAATGCCATGCCGATTACAATCCAATCCAAAATCCAATTCCAACCAAGCTGATGCCAAGCAAACTGCGCATTAGAAGAGCTACACCACATACCTTCCACCCCCCATTCAATCACCCGCAGGTCCACAATTTTGCAACCCACTCGTAATGCGGTTTATTATGCAGCTTATCTACTTGCATACATTCCACGTTCCATACGTATAGACAGAGTGTGTGGTTCGTTCTGTGGGTGCAATAAGTATTTATGATGCTGGCGGATGGGTGATATACAAATACACGTCGAAGAGAGAGAGAGATATCTGGATAGAAGGTAAAGCTAATGTAATCGTTCATCGCTTTTATTATCTATGCAGATGACATCAGGCAGGCGTTAACGGTAATTACGATAGTCACAGTTCGATAACCGATAAAAATAAAATGCTTACGTACATGTAAGCTTATCGCCAATATATGTAAAACATCATAAAATAATCGCAATATCATAATGAGATAACCAGTACAATGGGTATTTAGTGATATGCAAGGTACATAACTTATTTAAGGATATCAGATAGATTAGAACCTTAAGATAATTTCATTTATATTCCTTTTAACTTTACTTTATACTTTTTTCAAAAGATTTCTTGCTTAGAGTGCAAGGTAATTAATAAATGTACAATAGCATTTAACTGCAGTTTGCGAATTCCACTATCTAAAAGTCCTAATTTCCGGACGACATTCTTTTATAGACTTTTATCTCACTTCCCAATCACTATCTCAAGGTCGTTGATTAAACTAACGTCTCTGTGGTCATGTGTTTTACGAACCCACCCGCTAATCAGGTTTAAAAATAAAGAAACATTGTAAAATATTCAACCAAGTTAGGTAGCTATAAATGTGTATATACATTATGAATATGCGATTTAGGCCAGCTGATAGGAGTGCAAATAATATAAAATACGATGCACGTAGACCGAGGGAACTTTCCGTTTCTTTTGAGTTTAATAACAGATGAAAAAGGGGTTTACGGATCGGTCTTTTGGCATCGGTATTATTTCATCAGGCGCATCGGCCGTGACTAATCACCGGCTGACTAAGATCACGAGCTTTATTCTATATATCTGCATGAGTAGCACAATGTACTGATACTGGGAACTAATTCGATTGAAGTCATAAAATAATATCAGCTAGAGCGCCACCCTACTTATATTTGTTTTGGCATTAGTGTTGGTTTGGACAAATTTAGATCCGCGATAAGACCACTCTAGGTTCAGTTTCTTGGCTTTCTATTCAAATAAACAAATGCACTTTTTTTTTTTAATATTTTTTGTTCCCTTTTAGAGTTTTATATCAATCGATGGGAATGTGTAAATATAAAAATTTGCAATTCCAGATCATTTTGCACATGATCTTATTATAGAAACAGGAAGCTTGGCGAGGAAAAACGAAATATAATTCGAGCAGATAATGCCCTTAAACACTCTCTCGATTGTCATTTAATCAACATGAAAACAGAACCCCTCAACAACAATATATGTATTAAAAAACAAAAGCAAATAACACATCAATATGGGGATTGAAAATATACAAATATATGGTAAATATATTCACTTGTGTGATATTGAGCAGGAAATTGCATGCACTTTTGCCAATCAAAAAATGCCACGAATTTAAATGAAATAAATTTGATTTTATTTTTCAAAGGCACGTTGCCAAAAAGTTTCACGATGACAACAATCCATTTGCATCCACAAGAACATCGAAACGTAAACAAGTATCTAGGGAGCATAAACATAAGATCACAAATATATGATATGATCTTTAATCTATATATTAAATCATAGCATTCTTGAGTTATCACTTTAAATATATTGTGGAAAGTGAATTGATTTCGATAATATCTATCGATTTAATCAGGCATTTCCTATATATTAGATTTTTAAAAACGATCTACTCTATACCTCGTAGAATCCGATTAATTAGTTTTGATATAACTGATTATTATTTCCACTATTTGGCCTCACAGAAGACCCGGCACTAACCCCCAAAAACCAACTCATCAACCTTGTCGAGATTCAGGCAAACGTTTTCCTGGCGCCAACAAAATCGTGTGTATATACATATATCTCCCTATGCGTGGAAAATATATATACTGTATAGATATATATATATCGATATAAATTACAAGTATACGAGAGTTTGTATGTCGGTGATTAAAAATGCCTCAAATGCAATTTACCGAGCATTTGCATTGAGGCAAAAACGTTTTGCTCGAGGTTGCTGGATGAGATTTTGAGCATTGCAATATGGTGGGAGGTGGGTAGTGGGTGGTGGTATGTGAGTTATGCGAGTCTGATGAACCTCAATTCCACTGATCCCGGCGATACTTCAAAATATATATGTATATTCCCTACGGATTGTGTTGTACAATCTCTGAATTTGCATATATTTAAGACCGATTTTCATAATTTTTTCTTACAAGGAAAAACAATGTTTAACTGCAAACGTTACACAACTTTAAGTCGAAAAATCATTTAAGTTTTAACTTTTATGGTCTTTAAAAATCTAAAAAAATATATATAAAATGTATATGTATTTGCATATTGCAATCTGTTTGAGTTGTAAAAATCGTGTTAGAAAAGTCGGCTAAAAAAGCAATAAAGGATGACAGATTTTAAGAGCGAACAATAATGAAAAAAAAAAATGGAAACTGGGAAAGTGGGCGACGATAAAAAATTGGTGGAAAAAGAGGCGAGAAAGGGGGAGTGAATTAGTCCTTCTGGCTAAGAAAATTTACAGAGGAAGAGAAACCGAGATGGGACAAAACCAGCGAGAAAAAGAGAGCAAAGATTTTTGCAGTGTGGTGAGTTTTTGGCTTGTTATTGTTGTTCCTGTCTTTTGGAGGTGTGGCGACAACAACACTTCGCACGTGTGTATGAGTGTATCTGTGTGACGTAGTAGAGAGCATTTTATGGTTGTTGTTTTTTTTTTTTGGCAAAAGCAAAAAAAAAAAACTACGAGCAAAACAAATAAACCGAGCGAAGCGCACGATGTAAACAAAACAAGCAAAAATTCGCAATTAAATAAAAACAGCAAAAAACAAAAGACGAATATTCAAAAACTGCCAGAAGTTCCGATTTGCAAGTCAACACATTTCAATGAATAAATATCAAAACAGTCACGAATTTGCATTTTTGTTTTCGGTTTTTTTTTTTTTTGTTTTTGGCACTAGACATCGCAAAACAACAAAGACACAAGAGCATAAAATAAACAAACTTTTCTTCAATTTACAGATGCCGAAGGTGAATACACTGTAACCAGCGAGAGAACGACAGATTACCGGAGAAGAGAGTCAGAGTTTCCAAGCGAACGGGCATAAGACAGCGAATGACAGAGAGAGAGAGCAAAAAGCAGCCGGCAAATTAAAGCTACACTTTAGAAAAAGATCAACTTAATTGAATAATTTAGCAAATTTTAAATATAACAATATTATCTACAAGATAAGAACTTGGTAAAATATCTACCACACGGAAATAAAATAATAATAATAATAATTATTATTTTAAACATATTTTTTATCAGTGTAATCAAATTCAATGGAGTCTTGAAACAGCTGTTTGCCAGGTCCTTCCGCCATTCGAAAGCTCCCCCCTCATAAATTCCCACCTCTGCCCCTTCCGTTTCACCAGGAAGCGGATCTTTCTCGCCGGCGGCTGTTAAAATAACCGAAAACAAAAACACAAATTGATCGACAACTCTTTTTAGCATATTTTCATTTATCCGTCTGAATTGTCTTTTATTTCATTTTTGCTTTTTGTTTTTGTGCTCGTGTCTCGTTTGCATGGCCATAAAATTTCTGAAAATAGCCATCAAAAAAAAAAAAAAATAAAGAAGAAGA